TAGCCATTGAGTGACAGCGGTTCTGGCAGGTTTCAGATAGCCCTACCTGGAGATGCCAGGGATTGAAGCTTGGACCTCTTGCTTGTAATGTATATGCTGCACCACCAGAAATGAAAGAGCTAACTTAATGACCTACAGATGTTGCTGGACTACAACTCCCATCAGCACCAGGCAGCAAAGCCGGTGATCTAGGATGATGGGAGCTGTACATAAATTGAGACTGGAAGTCTTGTCTTCTTGTCATATTGACACTACAGACTTTACCCATGGGCTCCATGAAGTTGTTTTGAGAGGATGCTGAGATTTGTCTATTAATGACTACCACCATCCCTAGCCTCCACAGAACCAAGCAAGGTTGGGTGTTGTTATATAATAGGGGAACACCCACTGCATGGAAGTTGGCTGGGGTTACTAAGGGCTGGAAATGCTCTCCTCAAATGCTCAGTAGGACTCAATTATTATATTGCCTCACAGGATCCAGGAAAAAGTCCTGGAAGTCAAATGTGAAGACCTTGAGTCCAGCTCTTTCTCCTCCTCTTTTCTGTAACATATGGGCTTTAAATCAAAGGTAGCTAACCTTTATGGGTGGAGGGGTTAACAGGTGCACTCACCCTTCAGGGGCTGGATTCCAGCAGTGGGTGTGGCCACTCTGCACTCTCTGGCACATGTGCGCCCACCCACAAGGCACACATGCAGACACACTAAATCCATGCAGATCATCTGAGGAGGAGATCGCCCCTCTCCCTCGTCATCCAATGAAAAATCCAGTGACCAGGGATGTGGCAATTTGCATTCTCATCAAGGTATTGGACTGGGCTTTCCACTCATAATTGTGTCTACTTTTGTTTTGTTGTTTTGTTTTTTCCTTTCATCACTACCACCACATTCTTGGGAGGGGTGTTGCTCCAAAAAGCTGGGATTGGGCCTGATCTGGCCCCTAGGTTGAGGGGGGGGAACTAGGTTCAGGAGGGGGAAAAGTTATCTGTCGCAGCTTTCAATTTTCACAAAGCAGTGACGACGACATATTCTAGATTGTACACAGCAGTGCTCTGCACACTGGTGGCCCAATTCCGTGTTCAATAGTGTAATAGCATAAAGACATCTGGGGGATCACTGCACATTGCTGTAGGTTAAGGCTTCAAAACAAATGCCCAGGCTCTAGTCTATAAATATCAGTCTTTCTCCCACTATCCTCTCCTCCCTGGGATTGTTTTATAAATAAGTTGTAACACAATCATTCAGTTGGGTCTCAGACAAAAGAGCAGAGTCCCACAGGCTTTTGCTTTCTAGCACTGTAAATTAGAGAAGCCTAATTGGATTATAAAGCAGCGTCGGTTTCTGGTCTCAGTTTCTCTCGGGCCAAACAAAGTCGTTATTTCATCTGTTACAATTGGACTAGGAAGGAGGCTGGAGATTTGGCAAAGGGAGAAAGCAGAGATGCCAGCACTCCTGCTGATATCAGGGCTTGCAACCCTGTGAAATTAATGAGACACAAAGCAGAATGTTCCTCATAGGCACCTGCTAGAATCCAAAACACATACAGAAAAGATTGCAGGAGTTTAGCAAAAGTTTTTTGACGGCCCATGAAGAGGAAAAAGGAAGCACTACCCTGAGGTGGGTTTTGGACCTTGACAGTCGCTTGTGCAACTGTTTTTGCAGTGGGTGACAACGGCATGGCATTCCGAACCCAGCCCAGGGCATTCCACAACTGACAAAGCTTTGAAGTGCCATTAGCAAAAACCCAAACACAGCCATCCTTTGAAATTTGCACTTCTCTGAATTTTGCAGCACAGCTCTCCAGCCAGCAGATGTGTACAAAAATGCACATGCTGGGGTGATATATGCATGAATATGCATCTAGTCGGGAAAATAACATTAAACATGCATTTGATATGGGAAAATTGCTTTGTAAAAATGTGTATATTAACTTGTGATCATTACCCTATGAAATTTGGCTCCATGAAAACTATGTCCATTTGGTTTTATATCTGGAATTGTAATTTTTAAGTCATCCAGAGAGAACCTACAGGAGAGCCTAAAAAATATTTTAAATAATTAAATGCTAAAGACAGACATAAAATCAGATCTTTGCTCTAATCTAGCAAGCCTCTTCCTAGGTTCTTATGCTTGGATTCTTCTATTTTTTTCTTATAAGCCTCAGTGAAAGCCATCATGTGTCTATGGAGACAATATTAGATTTGGGCATGAAAATTTCTTGATAAATATTTGCATCACATATAGCATTTCCCCTATACAGCATTATGTAGAAAAAAAGCAAACCATGCCCGAGAAGTACAGTGATGGGAAAATAATAGTGCAAATGGAATGTTCCCCCTCTCTCCTCCCCCTGGACTCCTACTAAATCTGTCCTGGGGTTTCCTCCAGCCCCCCCCCCCCCCGAGCAGATTTGGAGATGTTGCAGGGCATGGAGGAGTGGAGGGGGGAAGTCTCATTGCACTAGCGCAAGTGCAAATATTTTGTCAGATACTGCCCCATGTTTTTCAATAAAGTTGTTTCAGAATCTGGCTTCTGCATAAGAACATAAGAGCCTGCTGGATGAGGCCAAAAGCCCATCTATTCCAGCATCCTCTTCTCATAGTAGCCAACCAGATGCCTACTGGAAAACTGATGGAGATCACCCTCGAACTCACACAGCAGGACCACTCAGTGTGGCTTCAGCATGAACCATCTTTGGATGGACAAAGGTAGGGACAAAAAGAAAATGGGGACCACGTTACAAATTTATGGGAAGCCACATGAGCAGATAGGAGGCAATTTATCCTGTACTGCTATGCATTACTTTATTTTATTTGAACAAGTTACATTTATATACATTTCAAATGCATATAGTTAACATCATTGTTTCTAAGCAATGTACAATGATGCTACAAAAACTAAGTTAAAATTAACAATAAAATTGGGGGGGTACTTAAAATGCTGGCTGAAGTTACAAAAAGGTCTTCACCTGAAGTCCAACAGGGAGGGGGCCAATCTGATCTAAGCCGGGAGGCAGTTCCACAGGATGAGCAGGATGGGCCCACAATACTGAGCAAGCAGCATTCTGGGCCATGGGAACCTCTAGCAGCAACTTTCCTGGAGACCTCAGTGATCAGGTAGGGGTATAAGGGATTAGGCAGTCCTTAAGGTATCCTGGACCCAAGTTGTTATGTGCCTTGAACCCTGGAGAATACAGGCAGCCAATGCAAGCTTGTCAGTACTGAAGTTGTGTGCTGGTGGTAGTCTGTCCCCACCAACAGACCAGCCCTGGCATTTGGCACAAGATAGAGTATCTGGACCAGATCCACAGGTAGCCCCAAATAAAGCACGTTGCATAATGAAATACTGAAGTTACTAATGAATGAATCACCACGGCCAGGTTTCCCTGTCCAAGAATGGCAGTAGTTGGCATATCGACCGCAGCTGGTTGAAGGCAATCTGAGCCATTGAGACTACCTCAACCTCCAGTGACAAAGATGGATCCAGCAGCACTCCAAAACTATGAACATGATGTTTCAGAGGGAGTTTATCCACATTTAGAATAGGCTACTAGCCAATCTCTCAGACACAGGAACTACCCATACACATTGCCTCTGTCTTCCCAGGGTTCAAACTCAGTTTACTGGCCTTCATCCAATCCACAACTGCACCCAGATGATGCTGATGCAGATCATGCACAGACTCTCCTGACTCAGGTGGTCTGAAGAAATAGAGATGTGTGTCATCAGAGTACCAATGACACTTTGGCCCCAAACTAAGGATTGCTCCCAAAGGCTTCATAGAGAACTTGGTATAAGATTGTGCCTTGTGATGCACCACAGTGCAGAGACCACAAGACTGAAACACAATCTCTGAGTGGTCTTGCAGGTAGGAGTAGGACCACTGAAAAACATCACCCCTCAATACTAATTTCATGGATGATATCAAATGGTATTGAGAGCTACTGAGAGATGGAGATGGAGAAGCAGAAACAGAGCCACACTCCTCCTGTCTTGTTCTTGATAGACTGAAACAGATCCAGATAACTGGTATTCTCCAGGAACTCCTGTAAGTGCTCCACCCACCCACCCCTTTTCACCATGAATGTATGGCAGTGGTGAGACCTGAACAGCTCAGTGGTATAACTTTGCAGGCTCAATCCCCCATATCTCCAGATACAGTTAAGACAGTGCCTGTCTGAAACCCTGAACAGTTGCTGCCAGTCAGTGTAGATCTTACTGAAATAGATGGAGGAAAGATCTGACACAGTATGCTATGCTTATGTCCCTGAACCCTTGGGGTGAACACCCTCTGTATTAAACAAGCCCTGTGCTTATGTGGCAGGGATGTGGGTAGGGGAGAAAGGAGTTATGTACTGGAAGATGTTAAGATTTCTGGCTACTCCCCTGTTTGCTTGGCCGGGGGCGAGAAGATTACGGGCCAGAAGTCCAGGGTGCCCCTCAGCAGCAGTCTAAGCAAAGCAAGGGGATCAAGGCGGGGCCCCATTCAATCCCTGATCTAAAATTATCCAGCTACACCGCTGCAAAGCCCCACGTCTAGTATCAAAAGCTCCAGCCTCCCAGCCTGTTTTCTCCCTCGGGGACTTGGATCAGGAGCGCAGGCTGAATGGGCAGCGACAGGAGAGGCGCTAGGACCTCCGGGGGAGGGGAGGTGGATGCTTGCCTGCGCCTGCCTATTGCCCAGTTAGGGAGAGTTCAGCAGCGCCGTCTCTGATCTCTTCTGGCTCTGGCTCTCAGCAGCAGGTGGTGCCTGGGAGGGAAAAGGTGAGGAGCTTTCAGCGAGCGAGGGAGGGAGAAAGGAAAGGCTGGGCGTGCGGGGGTGGGGGGGGGACAGAAAGTGAGAGGAAGAGAGGAAGAGGCGTCCCAACTGCGTGGCTGTGCCTGCTCTGGCCCCAGCCTTGCCTTCGTGCCGGGGCGTTTTTGCCCAATGAGAGTCCACCGGAGGTGTCCGTCTTCCCCGCCTGCCCCCGAGCCCAGCCCTCCGGCGTGTCCTCCTCATCCCCCTTCCCAGCAGATGCCCGTCCATGGGGCTGCTTGCGAAAGGCTTCTTCCAGCCCCGACCACAACCAGCAGCGCATCTTGCCAGGGAATCGGCCGGCCAGCGGACAGCCGCCCGCGGGTGCAGGGCGTTTGACGGCGCCGCCTTCCCGAGCCGTGCCCAGAGCAGCAACAGCAACAGCAGCAGCAGCCGTCCAGGTCTGGGCTGCGCTGAGCGGATCGATCAGGCCCCGGTCGTCGTCAGCCTCGCTTTCTCCTTCGCGCCCGGTTGTAGAGACCCGAGGGCTTGTCCTTCTCGCGACTACCTTCCCTCGGCCGGGGAATTATGCTGGGCTCCAGCCGCTGGGCTCGGATTGCCTGCGCGCCCGGGGACACTCGACGGGCGGCCGTGGTCCCCCGTGCGCCCTCGCGCCTCTGCTTGCCCTTGGTCCTGATGCTGCTGACTCTCACTCCGCGGGCGGACTCCTCTTGGTGGTAAGTCGGCCCGACGCCGGGGCTCGCTCGCGCTCTCCTTCGAGGTTAGACGGCGGCTGCCCTCGAGGAAACTTGTCTCTCCCCGACGTCTAACAACGAGGCACCGCGAAGCAGCGGTGGCTGCTCAAGGTTCCGATTAGCTTGGTGGCGCGCGCTGCTCGAGGCTGGAACTCTCAAAGCGTGCCACGGTGACGCAGTGCTCCTGAGCATGTGCAAAGCGCACGGTGCAGCGGCAGCAAGCGCCAGGACCTGTAGGAGTTGGGGAAGAGACGGGAGAGTCAGAGGGGCTTGTTCAAACTACTTACCAGTGATGTCGTTGGGTCATTTTAAACTCTGGATTTAATATGTATTGCTTATAGTATTTATATTCCGCTTTTCAGGCGGACCTCACAAAGAGGTTTACTTAAGGTTATTACCCAGACGGTACTAATGCGTAGCATTTCACTTTTTTCAAAATGAGGTTTAGTCAGCCCCAGTCCTGCTGCTTTTGAGGTCCGCTAGGTGGGTCCCTGGACTTTTACCCCGAAGTGCCCGATGGCCTGGCCCCCGTCCTTTCGATGTACAAGCAGGCCAGAGAGCCCCACACGCCACAAACGCAGTTGGTGATGGGGGCTCCTCGCTCCGGAGAAGCCCGCGGTGCTTGGAGGGGGCGATATCGGGGTCCAGTTTCTCTCTCGAAGGGTTTCGGCTTGTCCTTGGCTCCTTCTTTGGACAAGCACAGAGGGCAGCGCTGGTTTTTCATAAAACAACCAGGCGGGCTTGTTAGAGAAGTTGGGGTTTATTTATTGGGAGTGGGGGCGGTTGCGCTGCTCTGGAAGCCGGAGTGCGAGGCGTCAGTGGACAGAACCGAGAAGGGAGGCGGACGGGATGGCGCTGTCAGATGGGAATCCTGCTCATTGATGGGGCGATTTGATGAGGACGGGGATGGGGAAGTGCCCGCTCACCGCGTAATTTTATAGAGTTCTTTGTTTTCTTAATCGTTTGATTGTAAGCCACTCCGGGAAAGGCGGAGATAAGTTTTAGGATTCGAATTATTCTCCTCCTCCTCCATAGGATAGGTGGCTGCAGAGCAGGTGCTATAAACCCCCTGCGCACCGACAAATGCCCTGCTTTAAACACGCGCACGAGAGCACGATCCAGCCTAAGCTAAGCCCGCGGGCAGCCCCATCCTTACTCCGGAGTAAGTCCCACCGGGGGAGCCTTCCAGGCCGTTTTTTTCAACGGACGGATTCTGCACGTCCTCCCCTTGGGAATCAATGGGCTTCAGTTTCGATAGGCTTTGGACGCATCCTGCTCCTAGTCTCAAAAATGACGCCGTCCATTAAATCAGAGACCACGTCGTAAACCTGGGAGCCTTTCTACTGTCTGGCTGTCAGATCCTGAGTCTGTCGTTCTAGCTTGGATCTACCTGCCTGCTCCAGCAGCTAAGGCAGATCTCTGAGGTCTCGAGAACCGCCTTGTCGGTGGGGGGGAGGGGTACGTGCCGGAAAAGAGGGGCAGAGACGGAGGTCCCTTCCAGCGCGTACTGGCGATGCAGGGGATCGAAAGCGGGACCTTCCGCACGCAAGGCAGATGGCTTGCCCCTGAGCTAGTTGGCCGGCAAGTGACAGCAGTTGCGCGGGCATGGCATTATGATGGGCTGCTCTCCTATGGGTTCCTTCTCTCGACCGTCTCCTTCTCTATGGGGCCTCCTCTTTTTACCTTACCCATCTGCCTGTGGACTCAGTCAAGAGTCTCGTGGCACCATAAAGGCTCACACCTTTTATTCCGGCGTAAGCTTGCAGGTGCTAGAAAGTCCGCTTCGTCAGATGTAAAATGGAATATAAATATACCTGGTGGAGTAGGAAGCGGGAAATGAAATGCAAGAAAGCGCAGAGAGTAACTTTGCTACAGCGAGCTAGAATGTGTGCGCAAGAAGCGCGCGCGCGTGGGGGGGAGGTCAGTTCCCCCAAAGAATCTTGGGGACTGTGGTTTGCTAAGGGTGCTGAAAATGTTAACACCGCGAAGGGTAAGCTACAATTCCCCGGATTCTTTAGCGTAAACAATGTGCTTTAGATGTGTGGTGTGTGCAAAAGCCTCTGAAAAAGCTGAGTTAATTGGGAAAGGAAAGCCTTAGAATCGTAGAATGGCAAGAGGGGAAAAGGGTCATCTAACCCAACCTCCTTGTCTCTCTGCCCAGACCCAAATGAGCTGAACGTGGCGTCCCAGCGCAATGCCCACCATGTCTGATTGGCAGCGCAGCACTGTTTCATCCCGTGGGGACGACCCCAAGACAATGGGTGTTTGGATTACAGCCTTATCGATTCACCATCTCGTCCTCCTTTCCATCCCCATTTTTGGGATGTTAGTTATCTACTCTAGTCATCCCATCAATCGATCTGTAAAATGTCCCTAGATATTTCCTCTCCGTCAGGCATGGGGAGCCACTGCCCTTTATTTCCTCACTGCCTGAGTTGTGCGTCTGTCTGTTTTAATTCACCCTCCTACTCATCCTTAGCTACCTTGAACTCTCTTACTCCCCCGACGTGGTGCGCCATTGCTGTCATTTCGACTTGCCCACTCACTCGCCCAGCTTTAAAGTTCGCCCCGGGCTTGGGTTGGAGGGAGCGCTTTATTGGGCCCGGCCACCATTGTCCTCGACGGGGAGGAGTGGGGGCGATTCCTCCAGGCGGAAGGGCACATTCCCGTCGGGCCGGGCCGGTGATGGGCAACGCGGCCCCTTTCCAAGCTGCGGGTCTGACTCCCACGACGTAAGCCAAGCCTACAGCCTGTTATTGTTAGAGCCGCTGCGGCCGGCGTAAACATGACTTGAGCCTTGTTGATGACAGAGCCGCTTTAATTTAAAACTGTTTTTATTGTTCATACTTGGGAGTTAAACAAGAGCTCCTTCTTAAATGGGAACAGCTGTCAGTCTGCTCCCAGGTGCGAAGCTGCAGAAAGCGGGTTGTTTCTGCAGTTGCGGAGACGCGGGGTAGGTTCACAAGGACCGAATCGTCGCTTGAGGACCACAGCATGAAGGGATGACTTCCGCGCATCTGATTCCTTCTTTTCACATTCGTATCTCGCCCTTCTTCCACGGTCCTGGGGAGCCCCCATTGTTCCCCACACAGATACATGCAACCCTCTTAATTATCTTCCACAACAACCCTGCGCTCTAGGTAGGTTAGGACTCGACGACAGAGAGACAGTGACTGGCCCAAGATCACCCGCTGAGGTCCGTAGTTGAATCGGGATTTGAACCTAGGTCTCTCCAGAACAACACTCAAAGACCACGGGATTAAAATTATTCAATTTGCTGAGGGTTGAGCGGGTTCACACGTGCATGCTCATCACTTGAGGACTGCAGCATCAAGTGATGACTTGCGTGTTCAAAACAGGTCAGGACGCCCAACCAACCACTGCCCCTCATCCCCTCTCAAACCCCAGATTTTCTCCGTGGAATTAGATATGCACCTTTCACTGCCAGAGATCAAGGTCCGGTTCACACGTGTGTGTTCCGATGAGTGCCGCTTGAGTGTCTGGTGACAGGCACAACTTGCCAAACACGCTGCTTTTCCAGGGGTCTGGTTCACACATTCATTCACAGTTCCAGAGTACAGTACCGTCAGTGATGCGCGGTCCTTTCGCCTTAAGCGATAAAGGCAAGATGGCTCTACATTTCCCAGCGATAGCGACATGCCAAATAAATACCCTATTCAGGGGGTGGGAGAGAGAGAGAGACATTTACGATGGTTAGATGATGGGAGCCAAATAAAGACATCTGTTTGCTTCCTTGGAATCATCTGCGCTTAGCACATACTTAGCAAGGAAAACAAAATGTTGAATAAATAGGAGTGCAGATTTGAAGGCAGAACGAATATAAACACCTAACTGCAGCATATATCTGAGGTTTTATTCAGCTGGAGTCATCTGGTTAGTGGTCCAACAAGGCAGTCCTATACTCAGAAGTAAATCCCACTGTGTCCAATGGGGTTTTCTCCCAGGTAAGCGTGCAGAGGTTGCAGCCTCACTGGAATTGAGCTAAATGGTATATATTCTCGAGAAAGCATCCATAGGACCGGGTTGCATTAGGGTGTTTCTTTATTTTACATTTATAGGCAATATTTTTTTGTTTAATTCTTTCATGATCTAGAGACATTTTTATTTTAGAAATCCGACTCCGGATTGTATCTGCTTCTATGCGCCGTTTTTGGATTCTGAAACCCAAACGGTGTTTAAGGCAGTGCTGCAAAATTTAGGAGGGAAATCCGTAGCGTCACTCACAGGAGGGGATTTGGGTGAGAGGACACTGGAATGCAAGATCGGGCCACGAGACAATTCCAAAATCCACCCTGAAGTGTGAAGGCCATACATTTAACACAAAGAAGAAAATCGCAGCTGCAGCGCCCCAAATACTCTCTTATTCTTATTCTGGCAATTTAAAAGACGGTTCGGAATGCACCATATTAGCCGATTTCCAACACCCTGAATAGCAAGTGTTGAGACCGAGGCTGTAAATTTACCGAGGAGTAAGTCCCATGTGCAACCCAAAGCGCTAGCTTCTAACTTTGCAATGCCTGTTCTGATGCGATCCTCTCAGTTTTTGCGTGGTGTGAAACCTAATAGGGAGCGTCGGCCAACCATAAGTCCCAGTGACTCAGCTGATCTAGTAAGTCTAGCCCCACACCCACCCCTCGAAATAGCAGCCTCAGAGATTTCCCTCCCCTGAAGTCTTTGTGGCTACGGTGGTTTCCCCATGAGGCTATAGGTTCCCCACCGCAGAACTAAAAGCACCTTGCCAATCTGAAGGTGATGCTCTTAGCTTGTCTTCAGAAGCAGCTATCGCTGAAACATCTGCTATAACTGGGCTGCAAAACTACCCCTGCAGGCTAGAGGAGACTTCCTTCTAAATAGGCAATTGTAGGAAATTAGGAAGCTGCCTTCAACTATTGGTCAGTCAGACCACTGATCCTTCTAGCTTAGCAGCTCTCCAGGATTTCTGGCAAGGGTTCCCAACCCCATCAAGGAGATGTCAGGAAGCAGATGTTCTACCATTGAGTTATGGCCATTCTCCCCAAAGTAGGACTGCACTGTAAACATCAGTGTCCAACTTACTTTCCCACCAATGGGTAAAGCCTCTTGTATGTATGGCGACTTGGAGTAAGGACTTCTCTGCAGTTGCATTCCAGTTACTGAACTGCCTCCACCCTAGAGGCATAGTTGAGGCAACACTGATGGGATTTCATACAGAGTAAAGTTCTCTTAAAAGCTTATGTTACTTGGTTGAAAATGTTTGGATCACTTTTAGCATTTAGCATTTGTGTATTGTTGAATTGATTAGCATTATGGTCAACATCATAATTGTATTTTATAACTGGTACTGATATTGTTTGACTCTTACATGCAAACTGCTTTGTGGTCACCTGTGAAGGAAAATGGTTTACAAATCTCTACATATATTTTATTGTGTGTATTATTGCATTTATATCCCACCATTCCTCCAAAGAGCGCAATAGTTCTCTCCTCCTCTTCCATTATCTTCACAACAATCCTGTGAGGTAGTTTGGGCTGAGAGTTGGTGACTGGCCCCAAGCCACCCAGTGAGCTTCATGGCCAAGTGGGGATTGAATCCTGGTCTCCCAGATCTTAGTCTGACACTCTAACCAGCACACCACACTGGCTAACAAACCAGTTCATAGATTTCTATATCTCCCATCCACAAAATAGATACAACTGCTTGGTTACAGGTCATCAGCAGAAAACCTCATTACTTATTGCCTCATTCCACACACACCCCATTCAAAGATACTGAGACAAGGCTAATCAGGTCTTTAAGAATGAAAAGCTTCAAATCTCTCAGCTCAGGTTGATATTTGTATGACTTCCCTACATAGGAAAGAACAGAGGTGGGATGGAAGCCCTCTATTCATAGCTCTTTTAGGAATTCAAGCTATAGTTCATTGAAATCTGGGTACTGAGCACCTATTGTGTTTTCATAACTTTTCTTTCTCAGTCAGCTGATTCATTTTATCCCAGACGACTGCCTGAACTGTTATATATCTAATGCCATTAATACATACATGGTGCTTTTACAAAGAACAAATATAACATATTCCTTGTGATGTAAACTTTTTATTAAAGTTACTCCAGGCAGGTTCTTTATTGTATGTTCTTAGTGAGTTCTTAGAGACAACATTTTAGTTGACGTACTTGAGAAAACAAACCAATGGTTGGAAGATTTCGGAGCCCTTGATTCCAGGTACCCTGGCTGTTTTCTCTTCAGCCTTCCATCCTTTTCTAAAAATGCTTCCAAACAATATTTCATCAACAAAGTATCCTCTCTTGGGGATATAGCTATATTGCAAGCATGTATGGAGATGCTAAACTTGGATCCAAAATCTGGAGCTGCCATTTATGAAGACTTTGACTTAAAAAAAAAAGAAAAGACAATGTTTCTTATTAATTAAAACAAAACAACCAAAGCTTGCATTAAAAACAAACAAACAAATTCATACATAAATAATAAATTGGAGCATCATGAATCCAATATTTGCCTTTTCTAACCCTTCCAAAACGTTCTTATAAAATTTCACTTTTCTTTCAAGCCTCCTGGAGCTTCAACTTCAACTTGGCAGCATAAGACACATTTCACTAAATCAACAAATCAATACAAAAGGTGGAGTGAAATAATGGAGGAGGATATTTTCTGAGGTTCTCCAGCAACTGCTCCAGATAATCAGAGGTTACACACACAAACACACTCCATCCTCAGAGAGGTGGAGGAAGACCTGTCAGTTGTATTCATACTTATCTGGTTTTTGACATTTTGCCTTTTAATCTTCCAGCACTTTCCCTGTTTAGCTGGCTGGATTCAGTGTTTCAACCCTCATTGACGAATGCTTCTGCTGAGTGGGGCAAAGATGGTCTCTTATGTGGAGAGTGTGACTTCCACGAAACTCTTTCCTTAGCCTTTCAGACCTTTAAAAAGAAAGGCAGTATCACGGATATTGCAGCACTAAGAATGGGTAGCATATTATCTGATCTAGACTGCCAAATTCTTGGGGAGATGGATGATCTCCAAACTTGCGCCTAGAGGAAATGCTCAGCGTTTTCTCCTGCCATTTTTTCCCTAGGCAGAATCATAGAAAGTATCGAGTCAGTTCTGCTCTCTGCTGTGCTTGAAAAGGAATTCTCAACCAAATGCTTCTTCTAAACAGCAAGGAGTTATGAATTTTCAGTGATGTCAGGGACAGCACAGATTGCTTCACAAACCAGCCCCCAGGAATTCTTGGAACACCAGCATGGTGGTTTGCAAATGGATGTGTATATAAAAAACTTGTAACTCTAAATAAATGTTATTTGCAATACAACAGAAGCTCAAAACTGTGGCAGATGGGCTCCATAAGGTGGTTGCAGCAGCTTTAACTGGGGGATCCTCTCTCAGTATTGTGGTTGTGGCTGGAGAACTTCACAGCCTTCTGAATACTGTGATTACTCAACGGGAAGAGAGTGGTCTATATAGAGATGACATTTATAATGCCTTACAAATATCCCTTGATCAAAGACCAAATTCTCAAATGGAATTATGTTGGTATTTCTGATATCAATACTTCCTTCTGACGGAACAAGATCCCTGCTGCTATACACACTTACCTAGAAGTAGTCTCATTGAACTCAGTGATACTTATTTCAGAGCAAGTATGCATAGGATTGTGTTGTTAGGCCATAATCCTACACACGCTTAACTGGAAGCAAATCCTCCTGAATTTACAGCACAGGTGATCCACTGTGACTATAGTCCCTCTGTGAGTCCAAGCTTGGATGCAAAATCCATTTACATACACATCTCTTGGGGGAGGGGGGGAATCCTCATGTTTTACTAATTAAAATAAACCAAAACAACAAAGGCTTGCATTGCAAAAAACAATAATACATTCCTAAATAAAAAAATAAATTGGGGCATAAATAAATTCAGTCTTTGCCTTCTCCAACCCATCCAAAGCATTCTCATAAAACTTCTCTCAGACAGCAAGTATCTGTCAAGCCTCCCAGAGCTCCAGCCTTACTTTGCCAGTTAACTAACTGTTGCAGCAACACAGACAGATAGCAGGACTGGCCCAAGACATTTTTATTCCCAAATTGTAAAATCCATAGCATGATAGTCAACAAAGTTTTACACAGAGTGAATTCACTGAGGTTAAGGGACATGATTAAGTTAGGTCCATTAATTTCAATGGGTCTACACTGAGTGAAATTTAGCTGAATACCTCCCATACAGGGTATGTAATCGATCATCATCATGGTTAACCAGTGCCCACCGGCACTATCTCAAAACATCAAATGTTTTCTTTTTCTTGATGGTTCCTGAGATCAAAGAGCGGTTTAGTCTATATTTGGATACAACTGGACACCATTTTGGATGAAGCTGGGGGAATGAATATTTTAAAACCACTGATTTTAACTACGGATTTCAAAACTGCTCTGATTTTTTCTTTATTAGAATTCCCAGGCAACACTGAGTAAGAGGCTGCCAGTAACTGACACCCTTTGAACAGCACCCAAAAAGTTGTTGCTTGAAGCAGATACCACATTTTGCCTCACGGTAGGGCCAGCACAGCCTGCATTGTCTTACCAAAGGCAGCCTCCCAAGCTTGGAAAGCAGGCCTCAGTCCAGAGGTCTGTGGAATCTTATGCCTGAGGAATCCTCTACTTTCCCTTGTAACTACCCACTGCATATATTTTTATTTATTCATTACAATTATAACCCAGCTTTCCACCAAGGAACTCAAGGTTGTATATACATAGTTCTCAGTTTCCCCCATTTTTATCCCCACAAGAACACTTTGAGATAGGTTAGACTGAGAGATGGTGACTGGACCACAATCACCCAGTGAAATTCATGGCTGAATGGGGACTTGAACCCAGGTCTCCCAAGTCCAGCACTCTAACCACTACACCACACTGATCAGAGGGGCCAATATTGAGGGAGTTGGAGTTGAAACAGCAGCATATGTTCAAACTAGCCAAGAGACACACTCAGGATCTGACCCTAAACCTTGGCCACCAGCTTTGCTTCAGAGCTATTTGGAGCGGATTAGAGGCATGTGGCTTCTAAACATAATCGGTGCAATAAACAATCTTGGTGTAAATATCTAAGTAGAGTTTACTCATTGCTGAGATGGGGTTAGCAGTCAGAGATCGGGATTCCATTTTAAAGCTGGAAGTTGAGTTTAAGCGAACTGTACACAAGCACATGTGTTTGCAACACACTGACACCACACGCAAAAAGCCACACAGACACATTTCCCCGCCTCTTGTAAACTCTCGTTCACATGCACCATTAGCTAATCTGTTTAACTGAAGCTGCTGTTTCTAAAGTAGTCATACACACACACACACACACACACACACACACCATCCAGCATCAGAACAGGTCAGACGTCCAAGTTCCCATTTTGATATCGCTTCTCCATAAACGTGGAGAGGGAGATTTTTAAATCTATTTGGTAGGTCTGCTTGCAGCAAGGAGGGAAAGAGAATGAGGACAGATCCACACTATAACATACAAAGCATATTCACCACACTTTTTAAGCACATGACTTCCCCCAAAGTATCCTGGGAACTGTAGTTTTCAGTTACCTTTCCCCATAACCTTAACAACCTACATTTCCCAGGATTCTTTGGGGGGAAGTCATGTGCACTGCATGTGCATCAAATATATTCTATAGATCTACTCAGTGTGTGCATGAGTGAGGGCAATATTTCAGCCACAGAACCCCCTTCCACTTGATACAAAGTAAGGATGGGGAACATTTTTCAGCCTGAAGGCCCCATTCCCTCATAGGCAACCTTCTGGATGCCACCTGTCAGTGGTGAGTGGAGCCAGAGACCTTTGTACAGTCAGAAGTCAGAAGCTTCTACATACACCTACCCCCCCACCCACATCCTCCATCCAGGCAAACAAGAAATTCAAGGACACATTCCAGGCAGGCAAAAGCACTCAAGGAGGCCACAGAGTGGGAGTATTGAGGGGAGTGGCCTGGGACAAGTCCCAAGACCTGGGGGGTTACAGAGGTTCCCACCGCTTGCATATGGTGTCTGTAGAAATGCACAGGATCTACTTCTTCCAGGTGTAACATCTCCAGCGAGGACAACCAGATTGTGGTTTATTTATTTCCTCTTTTCAGTTAAGAAAGACTCTGTGCAAGTGAGTTTTCCTTCCTTCTCACTTCAAGCTGCAGGTTCTCTCCTTCCTTTCTGAAGGTATGGGGGTTCACAATGTCAACTTGATCCCATCTGGGTCTTCATTAACACACACACACACACACAACTCGTCAGGGTGTCTCCTTCTTTTGAGTCCATTTCCCCTAGACTCCTCCCATTCTTCTAACTCCTCCCTGCTGTTTATCCCTCTCCTGCTACCTTTCTGGATAAAAGACTGAGTTACAAACCAGGAAGACCCTGCTTCAAATAACATCTCTGCCATGAACTCACTGGGTAGTCTTAGGCAAATCACTCTCTCTTAGATTCATTTCTCTCACGCAACTTGCAATATGGAAACAGTACAGAGTTGCCTTGAAGAGTTGTTGTAAGGCCCTCCAGATGCTGCTGGACTACATCTTCCTTCATCCCTGGCCAGGCCTGATAGGAATTGGAGTCCAGCAACATCTGGATGGCCAAAGGTTCCTCAGCCCAGCCTGTTATAAGGATTAGAACCAGATCACTTGCTTTGAACTCTTCACCATGTAGTACAAATGTTAAGTGTTGTTATTATTCCCTCTGATGTTTCTTATATGTTCCCATTTTCCTTCTTTTGTCTTTTTCATTTTTGGAAGCTGTTGAAAGTGTCTTGGCCTCATTGTCTAGGTTTTGGCTTCTTCTACTTCTGTCTGCATCCTACCTCAAAAATATGTTGTCTGGGTTTGCTCAGATTCCATTCCAGAAGATGATTTGGGGAGGAAGCACAAGGATATTTGCAACCAAGAGAGGATGGGATTGGTAGAGACCATAGCTACTCTGTGTTTCAGTGCAGATTTCCACATCCCATAGCTGTGAGGGGTTTCATAGGCCTTCGTTTTCAGAACTCTGGTCTATCAGATAACAGTGTCCAGAAGGGGACTCTTGGATCCCGGGTTAATGGTTTGGGTTTCTCACTAGTATCTGACATTGCATCAGAAGCAGGAAAGGAGTGTGACTCAGTCTCAGACTCTAAGCTCCATAACTAATGCATGTGTGAATTGGCTCATCATGTGAATAATTAGTTACATGATGCGTACAAGAGTAGCAAATTAAATGCTAACACATTGTGAAACCAGTATGCAATCTGCAATATATAAACAAGGCCAGCAATCATGGTTTAAGGGTGCTAATGAAGCCACATGCAATCCATGAGATATATCTTTACAGCAGTGTGAGAATGCTGGGCTGCAACAAACACTGGACAGTCTGCCATGGATGAGGAAGATGACTGATGCCAACATGGATCAAATGAGTATACAAATCCAAGTTCACTTTCAGCAAATTGTCATAGTTTGGTTCATATGTTAATTCATAATACGGAGAGACAAAGACACACTAGATGGAAATAGAAGCTAATAAATATCGAAAGGTACAATGCCCCAACAGCTTCTACCTCAGACATCCCAAATTGATAAAAGTAAATGTTCTGCAGGGCTTGAGCTGAAAACCACCAAACTAGTGGCAGTATTAAAACCTCCAGTGAAGCTGTCACCACGTGAAATATTTTCTCATTTGCATACTCACTTAACTGAGAGTAAGTCTTATTGAATCAATGGTTTTAGTTCTGAGTAACATGTATAGGATTGTGCTGTTATAGTTCTAGAATTCCCCCCACCCCACCCCAAGTATGAGAGCAGATGGGTTTGTTCTGTTCACAATTATTTCATCTAATTATATTCTCTGGTTCATGTTTCATTCATTGGAGAGTTCCCCCCTCAAAACAGGGGTTGAGAACTTTAGAAGTATGTCTTTGGCTTCCAGGGCTGCATGTAATTTGCATCTCATCATTGCTCATGCAATGAATATTAGTTTCCCTGTGTTTATATAAATGCTGTGCAGATGCCATAGTCATGTTATGTCTATTCTACAATTTCCTTTTCCCTTTCCTTTTTTTGGAAACTATTACTGTCATATTTGATGATTTCAACTAAATCTTGAGGTACAGATTCTTGTGACTGAAATCCCATGAAAGTTCTGTTTTACTGGCCTCAATGCTTCCACACCTTTAGGGTTTTTATTCCTCTATTTATTTGTTACCCCATTGTCAAGGCCGCCTTTTGATGTCGCCAGAGATAGAAGTGTGTGTGTGTTGTTGAAATTGCTTTCCTGCTGTATCCTACCTTTTAGCAGAAGAAATAGCTTTTGATGCAGAAGTATAAAAGACAGGTGGGGAGTCTCTCACAGATGAGGGCAAGCTGGGGGAAAATAGCTAATGCCAGTGATGGAGGAGCAGTCAGGCTTAAATATGGAATTAGTACAGAAACAGAATTTTGAAGAGGGTACCAGCACAGCAATGAAAGTGAATCTTCAGTTAGCAGAGGCATTCCAAGCAACTGACTGAAGGGGGGAAAGTGATAGCAGTAAGGGCAGCTATGTGTGGGTAGTCGTTGACTAGGACACAGATAATACAAAACTGTCAGAGGCACCCAATGCCATACTTGCATGTGCAGAAAGACTTCTGTGAGTGCAATGGAACTTCCCTCCCTTCTCCTCCAACCTGTACGCCTCAAAATCTACACTGGAGCATTGGAGGAAAGCTCAGAGCAGAAAGGAGGAGCATGGCGAAGGGGAGCGGGGAGCGGATTTCAGTCACTGTATTGAATCTGCAAGTATATACTTGGATAAGGTAAAGGTAAAGGGACCCCTGACCATTAGGTCCAGTCGTGACCGACTCTGGGGTTGCGGCGCTCATCTCGCTTTATTGGCCGAGGGAGCTGGCGTACAGCTTCCGGGTCATGTGGCCAGCATGACTAAGCCGCTTCTGGCAAACTAGAGCAGCGCACAGAAACACCGTTTACCTTCCCGCCAGAGCGGTACCTATTTATCTACTTGCACTTTGACGTGCTTTTGAACTGCTAGGTTGGCAGGAGCAGGGACCGAGCAACGGGAGCTCACCCCGTCGTGGGGATTCGAACCGCCGACCTGCTGATCGGCAAGTCCTAGGCTCTGTGGTTTAACCCACAGCGCCACCCGCATACAACCCAGTATTTCAGACAAAACCTAGAATTTCTTGGGTTGAATTGGATCTGCAAAAAAGTGCTGCAGTGTTGCATTCTCCCTCTTCAGGATTCCAGCCACTTCCCCTCTTATCTACCAACAACAACTTTCCCCCCCTAGTCTTTTCACCCCCAATTATCTGTCAGTCAGCATCCCATGACCACTGAGCATACTTAGTCCTCATTGGACTTCTTTTCTAAATAGTTTTGTAGGTTTCTTTTGTAGCAGAGATATTTCCTATCACCTAGTAAGCCGATCCTTTTACCTGAAGATGCCAGGGATTGAACCTGGGTCATTGTGCATGCAAAGATTGTGCTTTGTCACAGTCTAAACTAAGCAAATATCCTTTCTTGGAGCCAACTGGTCATTTAAAATTGCAAGCATTAAGAGCCTTCTGCAACTATAGTTCTTCTGCAGGCATTTGCTTTTCAGAGGAAACATAAAATAAGGCATTGTGAAGGTCATTCATTTTATGACTTTGGCAAAAACTTGCTAGCATTATACAACCAATCTAAATTTACTTTCCTGCACTTTACATTCCTGGCCCCTGTGGCACCTTTCACAAATATGTGTTGCAATGGCACAGACTGGTATGTGGAGGTTTCCAAATTGGTCTAGACTTTAAAGATAATGGGGCTCACACCCAAAGTTCATGAACTTCATGATGAGCCTGATCTCATCATGGATCGGCTGTAGAACACAGAACTCATGTTGAGTTTTGGCAGTGGAACACATAGGCTGAATTTGGAAATCACCCAAAAAAACCCTTTATTTTAATTAACCAGAGTTTGTCATGTGATTAATTAAACCCAACACTCTGGTTAATACTAACAGTGGTTTGTACAAAACAAGACAACTTCAAAGCATAGGTCATGGGTAGACAAACTAAGGCCAGGGGGCCCAATCGCCTTCTAAATCCAGCCTGCGGACGGTCCGGGAATCAGTGTGTTTTTGCATGAGTAGAATGTGTGCTTTTATTTAAAATGGACCTCTGGGTTATTTGTGGTGCATAGGAATTCGTTCATTTTTTCCCCCTCTCCAAATATAGTCCGGCCCCCCACAAGGTCTGAGGGACAGTGGACCAGCCCCCTGCTGAAAAGGTTTGCTGAACCCTGGCATAGGTTATGAAGCTGGCTTGTTTCAATAAAAGAAGTGAAAGGGAGGCCAGAATGTCTCTAAGGATGTACAGAGTGTCTTAATCCTTAGGTGGCTGAAAATAGGAAGCAGGTCTGAAGATAATGGCGTCTAGGAAATTTAAACCTCAACATCTCTCCTTTGGAAATTAACAGCCTCCCATATCCATCCCAACCCCATGCATCCTGTATGTTGTTATAGAATACCCACAACATACATGTGGAGGAAATCCATTGATGGGCTGATTTGGAGTGCTTTCAGTGGTATGAAAGTACATTGCCCAAAATATGTTTAAAATTATTATAGAATGAGGACAGGGAAATAAAAATAAAGCCACCAAAATGAAGTCGGGATAAGAGGTAGCTGTGTGTGACCAATGGTGTCAATTCAGTACTGTGACTGTACGTGAGGAAATGAAGACTATTAATCATTCCACAGCGTCAACTTATTTTAACAGGCCAGGATAACCTCATTTCCAACAGGGTTTATGAAGTAGTAAGAGTTTATAATAATATTACCTTTTTAAAAAGAAAAAAAATCTTGCTTTTATGCAACACTTTGCATTCCAGGGTGCTTTGCAACCCATTGCAAAACTGATATCGATGGCTGAAAATATGGTTTTTTTTAAAAAAGGGCATGCAACCTTTAGCTGGATCTGCTGCAGAGTGCAAAGTACACCAAGTCTTTCCTCTAGACAAGCCAGCACTGGCAGCTGAGTGACCCAAACAGCTGCCCAAGACTGCACCACTGTCAAGATAGCACGATGCCCTTTCCAGATCAGCAGACGGGGAAACTGAGAAAAATATGTGGCCCATTGCCTAGCAATTGCTTGGGTCTTTTCCACAATTCTCCCCTGTCTGGCCAAAGAGGCCTCATGTCAACTTTGAAGTCATTGAACAAAGAGGAGGGGAAAGGCTTCAGTATCCATGTGCAATGTGGGCACATAAAAAGTTGACACTCCCTTTGCACTTCTTGGAGAAGCCTTAGCAAGGCTAAAGGAGTGGAATAATGCCACACTGAAAAGGACCAAGCACCATACTTGTTTTTTAGCATGGCAACATCTATTTTCTGTGACTTCCTGCCTATTTCTATCAGGCAGGCAATTATTCTGTACTGTTTTGTGTACTAAATACTATCAAAACAGATTTTGAAACTACTGATTTTATCTATATTTTGATGTTTTCATGTTAGGTACTGTTTTTAAGGTATGCTTTATCACACTCCCTGAATGTATTTATACTATTTTACATAAAACTGCTAAATTTTAAATTATTATTAAGTGGTATATAAATCTATAAAAAATAAAATGGCATGCCCCTTTCTTTAAAGGTGTAATCACTACCCTCATTTTGTATACTATTTTATACATTAAAAATCCTGAGTGGATTGTGGGAAAGTCAGTTTTGGCTTGTTGCCTGAGATGTGAAAATACTAAAGGGCAGCATTGATCTCAGGTAGAATTGAGGGACAAATTTGTTTCAGTTTGCATGGAACGGTGAATCTACCTAATTTGCAAGTCCTAAAATAATACATGAACTGAAACATAGACATCCTTCAAAATTCATGCATGTCCAAATGGTGCCATGCTGTTCTACAACCAAATAAGTTTTACAAAAATGGACATACCAAAGTGTGGATAAAAAAAATGCACATATTAATGAAACGAATGTACAAAAATGTTAATTTTCGATTGCAAAAATGTGTATACAGGCAGAATGTGCACATTAGGAGAAATTCACACTCAAATGCTGATGAATTTTCATGAAGCCTTTAAAATATATAACAAAACTATATAGAAATGTGCACGACTGAACTTAAGATGGGGGGGGGGGGAGTGACAGAAACCAAAACTGTCAGACTCACCCATCACAGGAACTTGTATCCAAGTCACAAATGACAGGTGGCTCCTGAGCTTTGCAGAATACAGTATCATGTACCGTAATGCATTGTGCTTAATGAGTCAGACAACATCCCATGCTACACATCTAAAGTGTAGTCTTTAAATAACCAACTGCCAACCCATTCATACACCCACCTACCCCCTCTCCCCACTCCCCCACCCCTTAGAAAAACATCCTGTATATCTATAACTCAGGCTTCACTCTGAAATTCTAATTCAATTGAGAAAGCTGTGATGGTATCCACTGTTGAGCCGCGAAGGGATTACATGTTTAGCATTTCTTCCAAATGATACTGTGGGGAGTAAGCCAAACTATGGACCTGCTAAATATTACCAGCAGTCAACCTTCAGTCCCAACACAGGCAAACAACAATACGGACATTTTGAAAGGAGTAAATTATAAAATTCTGACTTACATTTTGAAGAGGGGTAAATTATCATCTTGTTCCAGGCAATACATTGAACCAAGAAGGCACCTTTAAGCTTACCTGAAACAGGGCTGACACAATGTGTCATTATCGTTAGCAGAATAATGAAATCATATCCATACACACTGGTTGCCATATAGATCAGGGATGGGCGCTCCATGTGATGTTAAACTGCAAGTCTTAGTGGAAAGTTATCCATCCACCACCACCACCCCGCTCCCCATTGTAACTGCTGACTGGAAGAAATTGGCCACTCTGGCTGAGAATGATGGGAGCTGGACTCCAACACTATATGGAGAGACACATTCCCAACCCTGCCTCAAAGCACGCCAGTGAATCTTTTGGTTCCCAAGGCCAGGAGCAGAGGCTCCTTGTGCTCTGAGGAAAAGGATATATCCCTCTTCCACAGAAAAACATTTTAACAACTTTGCATTCCCACCCCCACCCCACCCCAGACAAACTTTCTGTTCAATTTTCAACCCGTTGTACTGGGCGAGCTCTCTTTTCAGTTGAGAGCAGAGCAGAAAATCATCAGCTCGGCCACATGAAGAGGGTAGGATAACAAGTAAGATGAGCATCTGGATTCCCCTGAGATTCTGGCTCCCCACTTCCCTCATGGGAGCATGTGCTCACCGGGAATACACGCTTGTTGGGGTTTAAAATGAAACGTATGTTGCTGAGTAAATAGACCGGGCTGCCTCTGATTGTTGTGTTTATCCAAGAAGCAATTTAGGATTCTCCTTGTTTATTGGAAGAAGAGCCAAAGGATTCTTACAACAAGGGAGGGGGGAGCACAACAACTGGGAGGCGATATGTGACAGTTTTCTTCTGTTGTCTTGAGGGCTGCGTCAAGGGCAGGCTGCATTAAGGGGCCAGGGAGAGAACGAGCACTTGGCAGTTGCAGATCTAGATCTGTGTTGATAACAGATTCACTCATGGAAAATAAAGGCTGGCGGGGGGTGGGGGAGAGAGAGAGAGAGAGAGAGAAAGCCACATAATAAAATTTCACTTCTCCCAGCCCATCTAATGTGAATTCTTCTGCAAAGTGCCAAGCAGATTCAGAGTGGGAGAAAGGAAGAGGGAGGAGAGAGTAGCAACTTATTCTGAAACCTCTTAGGCTTAAACAGAAGGGTAAAGTTAAGAGCAAACTAGCTGATGCATTAAAAACATATCGTGTCTGATTTTTCTTATTTAAATAGCAGTGATGGGGAGAGATGTGCAATCAGGATTGGGACTGTGGTGTAAGGAGAGGGGTGATGAAGAGGGTTGGGGGAATATGACTATTCTGGCTTGTCTGTTTCTCATCCTCCCATCGTTAACAAGTTTTCCACATTTCCACACCAGTTTGCTTAAAAAAAAAAAAAAGAGTTCTCATGAAAATTCAAGAGCATTTTAGTGAAAATTTCATCCGGCTACACACATCTTTGTGTTTTGCTTAGCATACACATTTTTTCAAAGCACTTTTCCCTTATATAATGCAGTTCCATATGCTATTTTCAATAACATATGCATTTCTGTACATTTTGCTTGGCTTCCAAACTGCATTGCAAAGTTCAGAGAACAGCAGATTTCAAAAGGAGGCCATGTTTTAGTTTGTGCATTGTTTCAGAAACTGCAAATTAGGTAGATTTGCCCTGCTTGCTCCACCACCTCTGCCAGAAGCAGAGAAGCAATGCTGTTAGTGGCACTGATTTCAGGCCAGATCACACCAATTTTGGGTGAGATCTTGCCCAAAATCACACACGCTGCAAGATCACAGACTATTTTGGTGAGATCTCAGTCAAAATTGGTGCAATCTCGCTTGAAGTTGGCGCTGCCTGGCAGGGTGCACAGCACTGGCAGAGCAGGCAGTGGCAGCAGTGGTGGTGGCAGCAGCAGGTATAGTGGTGAGAGTGGCAGCAGTGGCAGGGCAGAATGGCACTTCTAATATGTACTGTAACCATGGCCTTTGCCTGATTCACAGGTTAAATGGGAGTTGTGTCAATGATGTGGTATTCGCTGGAAGTACAGTTCATGGTTTGAAATGGAGATTTACTTGGAATTCAGGCCTGAAACTTTTCAGTGACCGAGTCCAGTCTAAAAATGTGAAGACATAACAATGGAGAGGGAGAGCATTTCTGAACATGTACAGAATACATTTTCTCTTGGCTTGCTCAAATGAGTAAGTAACCAAAGCCGTCTCCCACACATCCAAACTCTCACCCATCTCATAGCCAGTGTAAATATATTCATTCCTCCTTGCTACTCCAGTAAACAGGTGTTTCAGAAAGAGGCAATAGTGAAACAAAGAAATGTGTACAACATGGGGAGAGAAACTTCTTTCAAACCACTTTCAATGTTCTTAAAAATTATTGTTTCCCTGCAAACCCTGGTTAATGTGCCAGCTTAGCTCAGATAGTGAGGTTCCTCACTTGGCTGGAAGGTTCAGCTCAAGTTTTAAAAATGCTACTGCTAATTATTCTGTTTGGCTTTGCAGAGAATCACCTTTTAAAAGCACAAAGAGAATCTGCATGGGACTGAACAAAGTGGCTGAATCTAAGCAGATTTTAATCTTATTTTAAGCAACTGGCAGGCAGACTCTTCTTGGAGGTTAGCTGGTGGTCCCTTCCATTTAGTACACAAAGACCTTAAACGTTACACACAATGAAGGAGATACAGAGAAAAATATAATTCATCTGTCACACTGTTACAATTTGTGATCCTTGCGATTCATCTGGAGGAATAATGGTGCACGCCTGTTTTAAAATGGAATGTGCTGCCTAGAATGGGATATCCATTATGTTCTTTGGGTCTGTAGCATTCTCTGCTGAAATAAGAGATGCCATGTTAGAATATATGGCAGTCATGGCTGTGGGTGCAGGAAGAGTCTGCAGAGTATGCAGGAGTCTCAAACATCCCCCACGTCTTGGGTTCTGACATTTCACTAAAAGGCCTGCCCACAGATACATCTTAGCAACAAATGCTGGCTAAAAAGCTCATGTCAGAAGGCTCGTTTTTGTACTCACCATTGAAAGATCCTGTTTACATTTTTATTAACTCAAGAGGGCTTGAGTTAACTCATCAGTATGTTAAGCACATCAATTTTTTATTATTTTAATTGTTTTCTCTTTGACCTGCTTTTGTTAGTCCTTCCCCCTCTTGCATGCCATAACACAAGCTCTCTTCTCATTCTGGACTATGGCAGGTCCCCCCCCCAAAAAAAACCCCAGTTATACCTTCTTCTTTTCCCCTTTGCATACCCCACAGGGTGTGTCTGTCCTCCTCTTTTTCTTTCTACAGTTCCCTCCCCCTCTGTTTCTTCATCCATCCATCAATCCTTACCTTCCTTCTCACTGAACACAGCACACAAGTCTTTTACTCTCCCAGCCAGGGCCAGCCCAATACATTTTGGCACCTGAGGCAAACCACAAAATGGTTCCCAGCTCCCTGTCAAGGAAGAATGGGTGTGGAATAAAGATTTACACTGGGATCCGCTGCCCCTGTGGATCCTGCCACCTGAGGTGATTGCCTCACCTTGCTTCATTAGGGAGCTCCCCATAATCCACACACTGAGGGAGAGCGTGTCAGATGGGCAGGAGGACAAAGTGGTGCCAACTCCATCACAAGCTTCTGAATCCATGGAGAAAGAGAAACCATGAAGATGTGCCCACCCAGATAGCATCCTTTCATTCCCACCTTTCTTGAACCAACTTGCCCACCAAGAGATGGGAAAGGGCAAACAAACAAGAGGTGTTAGAAAGATTCCCCCAATCAGCTTACGTCGCATAGGTCCCATTATAGTCCAGCTCAGGTTATTAATGGTACATGAAAAGAAAGGCCTAACTTCAGCCTGATCACAGGCTTTGTAAAGTTGTTGCTACTTTCCCATTTGGCGCATTTCTGCACAATGCAAGCAGTTGGTGTCGGTTCCAGTTCTTTAGTGGCCCTAATTTATTTATGCCTGTGCGAACTAGATACAGAGCACGCCTGCTAGCTAACATTGCATGCAAAGTAGGTCTCCGAAGTTTCTTGGCCTATCACCGCAGACAGTAATCACCTCACACAGCATGACGCTGGCGCTTTGGAAGTGGGACTTTTGTTGGCAAGGTGGACCGCAGGGGGAAAAGAGCAATTAGTGACCTTCCTATGCTCTCTCCCTCTGGCTTTATCCTTAAAATAATATTTGCCTCAGTCAAGACCCTTGGCAGAAAAAGTGGACAAGAGTGTAAATCATTGGCTCCCTCTGTGAGTTGCGGACAATAACATGACTTGAAATTTTGCCTTAGGGAGGCTCTACCTGATGGCTCTGCATGAACATGTTTGGGGTCAGGAAGGAGCTTCCTCCATAAAAGACTGGCAAACAACCATGAGTGGTGGAGCTCTGCTATCTTCTAACGTCTGCTCTTGGCTCCTTCACTTGTGTCATGGCTTTGCTAAACCCTTTTTGAATCACACTGACACTTCTTGGCCCTTCATTGCCTCCCGCTTCTGCTTCGTAAGCACTCTTGAACAGCTTTCCCCAACCTGCTGCCCTTCAGATGCCTTGGACTATAACCACCACCATCAATTATTTTACCTGCCACCTAAGGTTGATGGGAGTTGGAGTCCAATCACATCTGGCAGACACCAGGCAGGGAAAGGGTCCTATAAGATGAAGTGCAGCAATGAAGTGGGGTGAGGTAGTGCATGGAGTATACATTCATGGGACAAGGTGCTGGAGAAGATGATTCTCTTCTTTTGTTGTTCTTCAGGGTAACCTAACTCGACTGCATGTCTTGCCATGAGGGTAGGGTTATTGTCTTGTTTGTTATTATGTCATGTATTTTTGTGTTTTTATAATGTAAACCACTGTGTGATCCTCGGACGAAGGGCAGTATATAAATTTAATAAATAATAACAACAGTTATTTATAGGCATTGTACCACACTGGTGATTCCCTCTGTCCTGTCCCATGCACTCTGGGCAGAGAAGACAGGAAGAATGGGCCCTAGCATAAGAGTGGACTATGCATCAAATTCTCAGTTCATGCTTATGGGATATAACCAATGCTGTCTGTACAAGGGTGGAACAGAATTGGAATCATAGAATTGTACAGGTGGAAGGGACCATGAGGGCCATCTCCTCATGGACTTCACTCTCCTTGCCTTGCCTCTTCAGCCTTCCACACATCCTCAAAATCTGTTCCAGAAGGACTTAGAGGACCTTCCAGAACAGATTTTGCAGGCATGCTGGAGGACGGAGGAGAAGATGATATTTATTTATTTATTTATTTATGTATTTATTTGATTTATATACCACCCTTTCTCCAAATATCCCAGGGATATTACAACGTTAAGAACATAATTTAGGAAGCATAATGATAAAAACATAATACACAGCGTATTAGTGCACAGGTTAATGATAAAATAATCATAATAACTGCCCCCCCCCATTTAATTGTGCAACATCAGATTCCACTCTCTGCTAATTGCATCTGGCTTTTTCTCAGTGTGAAAATTCAACAGAGATTTTTGAAATTTCTCACAGCAAGGACAAGAGACCTCTGGCTGCTAGTGGTTTATTATGCATCCTTGGAAGTTCCTTCAAGGAAAGATAGTCAGCCTTGGGATCCTAACATCATTGGTCTGGAAGAACGTTTGATCAACAGCACCAGAAGAATTTTCATCTTTCTTAAAACAAATACCTCTTACACAACCTTCCTATGTATCAGGGAGCCTTTCACTTCATCACTGTATGGCAATTTCCTGTATGGCAATTTCCAAACTCCTGATATACTCTGTGGAGAAAATAGTCACAGAACATTTTAATAAACTTCCTGATATGCAAAAATAAAAATGAATAAAGCAACTCCTTTTTTATCTGCATGTTTTTATTTTTTGTAATAATTTTTTATTAGTTTTACAATTTAATTTTACATTCACAAATAAAATAAAATCAAAAAGTGTAGAATTCTCCAAAATCTTGGGCTTCCTTCCTTCCCACCATAAAGGTAAAAAGGTTAAGGGACCCCCTGACCTGACCATTAGGTCCAGTCGTGAACTGCTAGGTTGGCAGGAGCAGGGACCGAGCAACGGGAGCTCACCCCGTTGCGGGGATTCGGACTACCAACATTCTGATCGGCAAGCCCTAGGCTCTGTGGTTTAACCCACAGCACCACCCGCGTCCTCCTTCCCTCCATAGAGTCCGCTAATAACCATTTTTGACTGCATATCATATCGCCCTCTATTTGTCCATAAAACTCTATTTGTATCTATAGTTATTTTTGCATTGCAAGTGTTATTTCAATCCTGCTAAATGTTTTTAACTGTCTACAGTGTTCTCTCAAGTACGTTACAATTTCCCCCCAGTCCTTGTTAAAGTTTTTATCATCCTGGTTCCTGATTTCTTCAGTCATTTTAGCCATCTTAGCAGAGTCCATCAGTTTTGTTGTCCACTCTTCTCTTGCAGGTGTTTTCTCTTCCTTCCATCTTTGGACTAAGAGTATCTGGGCTGCCATCGTCAAATTAAGCAACTCATCCTAAAAATCCTTTTCAGGGAGAAAGTGTAGTACAACTTTAATCCATCAAATGGGAGCAGGACATGGACTGAGAAACACATGCCAGAAAAAACCCCAAATGTTGCTTGCCTATTGTGAGTGAGCTCATGGTTGAATTACTGCAATGTCAACCAGTGATTTTAACCCTGTAGTTTGGTAAATCGTAGATCTGTCTTGGTGGGGTGCTAGAACAGCATCTTTTTCAATGGCAGGGAGGGGAAAACTTGTTCAACCTGTATTCCTCCATGGGCAGCTTTCCAGGTGATGAGGGGCAGCAGAAAAAGTGGGTGGAGCAATGGATGTGAAGCCCACCTCTGTACAGTAAGCTGCGTTGCAGTCACGCAAAAGTCAGAGGTTTCTACCCAGACAGTGCTACATCAAGGCAAGCAAGAAGGCCAATCATAGTCAAAGCCAAAATCCAGCCAGGCAAAAGCACTCAAAGAGGGCCAGAGCAGAGCTGGTGAGTGCTGTGGCCTGGGGAGAGTCCAAAGGATGAGATAGAGAAGCTTGATGAGTCACATTTGTCCCAGAAGCCTCAGGTCCCCACCCCCGCCCTACAATGCAATTCCATACTACAGATCGAAACTTGTAAAAGTGAGTGGAGAAGTTTATTCTTTCTGCCATATCTTTTCTGTGTGTCTCCCTCTCTCTGTTGCCTGTCACTTTTAACATATGATTTCTTTTTTAGTGGCCCTTCCTATATAGCCTCTCTTTTCTTCAGAAAGCTTGCGTGCAACAACCCATTTTATCCAAGTAACAACCCTGTAAGGTAGGCTGCCTCAATTTTCATGGCTAAGAAGGGATTTGAGCTTGTGCTTCCCTAGTCCAAAATTCTTAACCACTGCTCTGCCCTGGCTCAGAGAGAAAGGAGCCAGATGTCTGTCTGTCTGTCTGTCTGTCTGTCTGATACTCATTTCCATTTATGAATCACTTCCCAGAATAAATTTTGAAGCGTTTTCAAAATAAAAATATCAACAATAAAAACAAGGCATATAAAAATATGTAAAAACTATTTAAACAGTTCCACATATGAAAGCAATTCCTTTTATCCTTATTTAATTAATTGCCTTCCACACATGTCTCAAGGCAACGCACAAATGCAATAAAAAACCCCAGCCAAGAACAGTTAAAAGACAACACAGAAAATAACATCAGATATACAACCAACTGAAATCAATTCCACATATAAAAACAAATTAAAACAATTTCATATGCAAAAACAATAAATGTTATGCTATTAAGCCAAATGTAATGTGGTAGCAGTGCACAATAACTAGACATGTAATCAAAACCACATTGATAATATTATATTTCATATTTTATTCCTTTTTATTTTAATGGATAATTGAGCAAAGATTTAATTGTGGTATTGAAATCTCAAGTGACGGTGTCAAAAATGGGAAATTATTGGACACATTTTTGCATCATTAGGGATCATTTGAACAATGGCATTAAAGCAGGAGGTACAACCATAAGTTTTTCACTGGCCAGTCATTAAGCTTCCCATTAAAAAATGACAAGGAATAAGATATCTAAAATCTGGTCATTATCTTGGAATTTTGGGACAACAGATTTAAGCTCAAGAGCAGGGCTTTTTTCAGCCAGAACTGGCCAGAACTCAGTTCCTGCACCTCTCAGGTGGGCACCATTGCCATTCTAAGAGAACAAGGGGCAGGGGTGCCCACTTGAATAAAATATTGGGGAACCAGGTAAGCCCTGCCCCACATCACATGACACAGTGCACACACGCCATTAACATTTGAGGGCCTGGCCCCCTCAAATATTTTATTGGGGGGCTGAAGACCCCTCGGCCCCTAGAAGTTGGCTCCTAAGACAAGGGAGGCATTCATGGTGCATTCTTTGTTCTAGAAAAATAGCACTGCTAAAGAGTATTTGGAATTATGTTATCCTCTTTGAGACTGCATGATGCATCTATCTTTTTTTAGTCTGATTTTACCTTTTTATAAATTCATACCTGTTTTAACTTTCATTTGAAAAAAAGTAAATGTGGGAGATGACTGTCAAGGAAATATTTTAGCCTTGCGACTAAGGGGAGTTTGCAGTTTTGAAAGAAATTGGAGCACGAACTTGGTGCTGGGAAACTGATGAGAATGTGGTGGTAGACAAACAGGAAGTCTACCTAAGGAATTGGGAACAGAGGAAACGAACTTACACTGAGCCAGACCATCAGGGCACCCAGCTCAGTATTGTCTATACCGAGTGGCAAAAAGTGGTTTCAGACCAGTTTCTCTCCCCAGGCCTAACTGGAGAGGCTGGGGATCAAACTCAGGACCTTCTGTATGAAAGCGGGTGCTTTACCAACTGAGCCAAGTCCCTTTTGAAAGAGGATCAGGTGGCAAGTTAGTTGAAAAAGGAGGCAGAGACCAGAGCCATTAGGCAGTAGGATGAAAAGCAGGAGCCCAAAGGGGGAATGTGGGGGAAGATGAGGCAGAAAGCAACAGGAAGGGGCAAATTGCTGAGCAAAGGAAGGGCCACAAGGAATGGGGCAGGGGGAGCTAGAGTATATAAGAGATTCTTGTGGGGCCTAAGGACTGGAGGGTGAGGCTGGAAGAGCTTGGACAGGAAGGAAACTAGCTCAAAAGTGAGAAAGCCGAGGCAATGGAGAGGCCAAAAGGGGGACCGAATTTCACATATTGAGTTAAACGAACCGTGAAATTTTTGGCTGAAGATCTCTGAGCTTGTGGACAAACAGTGCGGTGCAATGGGAGCCAAGCAACTTCCCCCTTAACACTCTGGTGGAACTACCCCGATCCTGTTTCAGGAGGGGGGGGGAGCCTCCCTTCAGTGTCATGAGGATGCGCTTAACATTGAGAGAGGGAGGGAGAGACAGTTGTTTGTAAGGGCTGTTTTTTAAGGCTACAGTTCAAACAGACGGAAAGTGGATTAACATCTAAATACAGTGGTACCTCGGGTTAAGAACTTAATTCGTTCTGGAGGTCCGTTCTTAACCTGAAACTATTCTTAATCTGAGGTACCACTTTAGCTAATGGGGCCTCGTGCCGCCGCCACGCGATTTCTGTTCTCATCCTGAAGCAAAGTTCTTAACCCGAGGTACAATTTCTGGGTTAGCAGAGTCTGTACCCTGAAGCGTCTGTAACCTGAAGCGTCTGTAACCCAAGGTACCACTTTGGTTCTCAAATGTGCATAAGTCCAGTTTGCTACAGGCAATATGAAAAAAGCACCAGCAACGATCACACCAGTGCATAGGTGCAGATTTAAAGCACATTACCTCCCCCCAAAAAATACTGGGGACTGTAGTTTGCTAAGGGTGCTGGGAACTGTAGCTCTGTAAAGAACCAACTACAACTCCCAGGATTCTTCGGCAGCATGCTTTAAATGTATGGTGTTTATGCAGAGTTTCAGCTTTCCCAGGTTTTGGGGAAGCTTTGCACTAATGTTTAGAAGTTTCTGAAGCTGTTTTCTCTTCACAGCATAGTTGTTGCCATAATATCAAGACATGGAGTTTGTGTTCTTTAATGACAGAATTCCAGTTTATTGAATTTGAAGTGGGAAAGCTGGATAAAATTAATAAGGCAAAGATTTTGATAAGAACTGTATGGTTGTATCGGAACAGGGGTGGGGAAGCTGAGTCTCTTAAGGTGATGTTGGACTCCAATTTTCATCATCCAATCTTCAAGGGTTATGGTCAGGGATGATGGAAGTTGTAATCTAATATTATCTGGAGGTCCCCAGGTTCCCTCCCCCTGCCAACAATCCCTATCTATGAGACTCTTAATCTCAGGTTCATGGGTTATAGCCCCACAATGAACAAAAACATTCCTGCATTGCAGGGTGTTGGACTAGATGACCGTCTCAGGCCCTTCCAGTGCTATTATTCTATGTCCTAAATTGTTAATAAAGCTAAGATACTGAGTGAAGAGATCTTTCATTTGTGTCTATGAAACCCATGTCCTTCCTCTGGTGCGTCTGGAGCTGGAAGATTCAGTAAAGATTACTGAGAAACTCTGAAGAAGGATAACATCTGGTGGCGATGCAGCCTTAGCTGTCCACTGCAACCTTGGCTGAACATAGGCAACCATTCACCCCAATAGGTTCGCCACACTGTGCATGCAACCACTTGCCTCTAACATCCTGCTAAGTGGTGAAGATTTTACCACACATCTACACCCAGTCAGGAAGTGAGGGAGTCATAAAACTCTCTCTACCACTTGGCAGGACATCACAGACAGACAGCTCTTCAAGTGGTTACACACACAGTGTGGTGAATGGCCACTAGGCAAATGGTGGAGTGGGCTGATCATCCTAGACTTTTAATGTTCTTCAGTCTGAGGGTCAAGAAAACATTCTGCCCATATCATTCGACACCAGGCTTGGATCCGAAAACCAGCCACGGGCCTGGATACAGTTCCTCTTCCACAGGCCACAATTGAATCCCTGTCCCCTTCCTCATCCATCCCATGCCTCCTCACACTTGACCAGGGGCTGTTTTCCAGTGCCTCATCTTCTCCCCACACCCCCACCTTTTCTGTGTGTTTTCTGGCTGCTGAAAGGTTGATGAGCCAGCTTGTGAAAATAATATGTGTTAGCCAAAACAGCCCTCCCTTGCAAAGGCTGTGGGGAGCAGTGTTTATTATCCACCACGCCAGCCCTAGATGACCTCAACTTCTCACCAGAGTTTAAACCAAATATTTTAAAAAGGAGAAAAATAATGGGCCCTTGTCTTTATCCGCAGAGCTGCGAGCTATCTCCGTGACTAATACAAATGATAGCATATGGTGAGGTGGACAGTGAAATATTGCCCAGGCATATTGCCTTTTTCGTTATTATTAAAGGGAGGGTCTTAATTCCAGTCTGGGAACTTGAAACACTGGAACCTTACCCAAACCTTTCCCTTTTCAGCCAGAAATGCAGCTTCAGAGGTATTCTCTGTATTCTCTAGCCTAAAGAGAGAGAGAGAGAAGGATTGCTTTCTTTCTAGAATGAATGAAATTATGCTGTTTGATGGATATGGAAAATTCCATCCTTGACTCAACTGTCTGGGTTACTTTAAGATCTGAAGGGATGCCTTCAGGGCCCTGAAAATGAAGCCTTGAGAATATTAACAACAACCAATGCGATTTGTTCATCTAAGGCAGGAATCCTATCCATTATATCTTGGATCTAAGTCCCATTGAACTTAGTGGGACTAAGATCGGAGTAAACACACAGAGTTCTGCTGAAAATCAGGTGCAGCATGCCTGACTATATTTGTTCATGATAGAATTAATACAGTGGGTGAAATCATACCCAGGAAGACCTTGGTTCAAATTTCACCAGTCTCAAAATGACAGGTTGACCCTAGGAAAGGCATTTTTCTCCTATGAGTCCAGCCTCCTATCTAGAAATGGAAATATAGAATATATGAAATACCGGTATATGTTTGCACCCTGATCTCTAAATGGTGGAAGGTTTCGGGATTCTGGCCATGTATCTTAAGTTTGGTTTCCTTGGAGTGGATTTCACTGAAGTTTATGACGCTGCTGTGATATAAGGCTTTACAAATACACCAGCTGAGCATAATAGGGAAATTTCATAGCATTAACACTCTAGCAGGTCCTGCTTCCCCACTGGTTTTCTAGGGGTTGCCCCTAATGCCACAGCACTGATTCTCACAGATAGCAAGCCATGCCTCTGCAGTTCTCAGACTCAGTTCCAAGACCGCCCATCTATAGCTGTCTTTCACACACAGACATCTTGATGACGTCACCTCAAGTCAAGGGAGAAGAAAGGTATGCCCCTTTGCAGAGGAGTCTCACATTTCTGTGGCAACACATCACCTGTACTTGGCTATTTCTTCAGTTTAGCCTCCCAACAAAAGGGAATCACGCTAAGCTTGTCCACCCTGTTTGACCTAGTTGCCAGTCTCATTTGACAAGCACAGTCACAGGGTTCATAGAGGTGACCCCCCCAACCCACTTAGTTCATCCTCAGACAATGTTATCCTAGTCTTTCACTGCTGCTTGTAAGGATTGCTGAAAAACAGTAGGAAAGGTGTCCTCAACACTATATAAACGATACCGTATTGGCCTGAATATAAGTCACACCTTTCCCCCCCAAATTTGGGCTGCAAAAAGTTAAAGTGTGACTTATATTTGTGAGCCTTATGGCTCCCCCACTCCCCAGGAAGCAGCCCGCCCACCACTCCCAAGCCTCCCATAGCCACCTAAGAAAGGGGGAAGGGGGGGAGGCCTCCAGCAAAGCAGTGCAGCTCCCCCCTCCCCCCCAGAGCAGCCCGGGAGCACAGGGCAACGGTGTGCAGCCCACCCGCTGCTCCCAAGCCTCCCTCAGCGCTGGCTTGCGGAGGTAGTGCTGGGAGTGCCAGAAGGCAGTAGTACCAGGAGGCTGGCATGCAGCGGACTCGAAAGCTAGCGCCAGTGCCAACTTGGGGAGCAGGGCACTGAGCACTGGTGCCAGCCGCCCCCATCCCCCGTTCAGGGCAGTAGTGCCGGGACCCACAAATAAGCCTTGAATTTTAAAGGTGTGGCTTATATGCAGGTGTGTCTTATATTAGGGCCAATACTGCAATGATTATCACTATCTACAAAATTCTGACTAGGCAAGTGTAATTGAGTAGTACAATAATAATCTGCAGTGAGTCTCATGATAGTTGATGTTTCACTCTCTGGAATCATACAATAACTTTTTTTAAAAAAAAAAAATAGCCTTTTGTCCTACAGGCTCCAGCTAAAAACAAGTTCTTGTACAAGAAAGTGCTTTAAAGTGTTTTGTTTTGTTTTGTTTTGGTATGAATGGTTCATGGGTTTGGAATTCCTCAAGCTGGCACCAGCACTGCACTTGCAGAATGTACCAGGAATCCTCAAACACCAAATGACATCTTTGAAATATACACCTTGCTGCTCTGCCTTTTAGTGCTGCTGCGAAATCTTGCTCTTCAACTTGCCTGGCTCCTAACACTATTAATTCAACAAAACGTTGCAGGTTCTTTTGAGCCAGGGCATTGGCTAGGGATAATTTTGTTAGACCCAAAACAGCACCCTGATGCCTCAGCATTGCCCTGTCCCTGTATTGACTGCACACCCACCCCGCAGGTCTGTCTGGAGTTTTAGTGTAAGACCGGCATGTTGGCAACTCAAATCCAAGTTGGAACACGGTGCAGTTTTTACTCCTACAAAATTCTCTTCCCTCGGGGAGAAAAACTTGTACAGAAGGATTAAATAATAATAAAAAGGTCTGCCTTGTTCTATCAGCTTCAGATGCAGCCAAAAAGGGGGGCGCTTGGAATACGGCTAACATCAGGATATCATGAATTATATATTCTCGGAGAAGTATTTTTTTATTTTAAAAAAGAATCCAGACTGTCAATGCTGGATTTCAGAACAGTAAGCTCATATAAAAGGTCCCAAAATGGCAGAGGCATGGAGTGGGGGGGGGGGGGTTATGCCACTGTTTATTGCTTTCATTATAAGTTTCAAATATAGGAATAGATAAGAGTGCTCAGAACAATAGCAATTGGCACATTTGGGCGAGGGGGGGGCTGCATTTTCCCAATGAGAAAATATTGCAGTTGGAGAGATGGAAAAATGCTACTGCCCTACAGCAGAACTACTTCCCCCAAACAAACAAATAATCGCAGTGCATTTAGAGTGCCCTGAAATTGCCAGAATGCCCACCCCAAAGGCATAGAAAAAACCACACAACTTTGTTCAGTGTGCATCTGTAATTCGCACCGGGTCAGTATTTCCTAACCAGTCTCCATTCATCCAGATCATTAGACATAGGCCAAGGGTGAAGAACCTGTGGCCCTTCAGATGTTCTGCTTCCAACATCCTTGACTATTGGCCATGCTGACTGGCCTTGGTGTCAGGTTTTTTCCGTGGGGGAAAGAAATCCCCCTAACTAACTAACATAAGAAAACCTAACTAACCTAAGAAAACAGGTCTATTGTTGCTGGTAGATGTGGTAATTTAATGAAGCCTGGAGAGGCCAGATCTATCTACTCTCTGTTGTTTCTCAATGGGTAGAGTGGCTGTCCATCTGCAGGTGGACCTGTCATGAAGACAATGTCTTCCCTTCAGTTCTCCCCCTGGATCCTTTTACCTCCATTTACACCAGCCTTTAATTAATTGCATTGCTGCCATAATTGGCTTCACAGCCCCCAGCCCACTGCACTTCCCTTAAAAAGGTAACACCCAGGATAACAATAGACTGTCTTTCAAGATTGTCATACGTTACTCTACAACCGGCAGAGTTGGAGTGGGACCGGGGAGACAAGGGTTCAGATCAGTTATGCAGCTCATCTTGGGCTAGTCACTGTCTCTTAGCTTAACCTACCTCACAGGGTTGTTGTGAATATAAAATGGGGACGAGGAAAATCATGTGTGCCACACTAAGCTTTGTTGAAGCAGGGAGGGATATAGATTAAAATAAAAATTAAAAATGATTATTTAATTAATAACTATCAATATTCACTGCTTTGTTTCTGGTGCCTGCTAAATACTTCTTTGTTTAGGCAAGCCCATCTGAATATGTATCTTTATTATCTATGGTTTATGGTGATGTACATTTTTAGCAACTGCTGGTTTTACTTAGATTTTGACAAATATTTAAGTTAGATTGCTTTTAACGTTCAATTTTTACGAACACTTTTTACTGAATATTTTATATTCTCTGTAAATTGCATAGAGGTTATGGATGATTAAGCAGTCTATACAACCTGGGTTTTTATTTTATTTTTAAATGAAAATATAATAATTTATAACACACATTTTATTTTTATTCTTAGTATATTTTAATTTCTTTTATATATATAGAATCCATTTGTTTAAACGGGATATCAATAATTAGAAACAAATACATAAATTAACAGTGTGAAGCAGCCCTAAGTAAGCGCTTGGACCAAAGTCAGGAAATAGGAAACTGCCACTTGGAGGAAATGTGTCATTGACCCAGCTGCCCCCCCCCCTTCATTCTATCCACCAGGAGCTGCTAGACTTTGAACCAGTTGGCAGTTGTGTCCTGCTCTTTTTACAGGGTCACTTTCTCTCTCCCTGCAGGTACATTGGGGCCCTGGGGGCAAGGGTGATCTGCGATAACATCCCTGGATTGGTCAACAAGCAGCGACAGCTGTGCCAGAGTTACCCAGACATTATGCAGTCCGTTGGGGAAGGAGCAAAAGAGTGGATCCGGGAATGCCAGCACCAATTCCGTCACCACCGCTGGAACTGCAGCACTTTGGACAGAGACCACACAGTCTTTGGCAGGGTCATGCTACGAAGTAAGTCCCCAGAGCAGCTCGCCTTTTTGCAGAGAGCCCCGCTGAATGGTGCAGCATAGGAATCTTTGACCTGTGATTATGATGTTCTCGTTTGAAAAAGGTCAATGTTGCCTGTCTCTCTGTGATTTATTTATTAATTACTGATTTATCATTCCTATGAGGCATCTCAAACCGACTTCCTGCATCATGCTGGCATCCACCTGTCTCAAGAGACAATGGAGGGTGCCTCCAGGGTAGGGCTGCCATATTTCAGAAAGTGAAAATCCAAACACAAAGATGGTTGAGCTTCTTTTGCAAAATCTCATACAAATAAAGTTTCAGAGCTACTTTTTCAGAACCTGAACCTGCCAAAATCAGCACCTCCGATATGGGTTGCCGTACGTCCGGATTGTCCTGGACGTTTCAGCAATTTCCACCCAGATGCTGTTCCCAATGGCTGAATCCAGGGTATGTCCGGGAAATTCTGGACGTATGGCAACCCTACTCCAGGGGTTAAGCCAAACTGCTCCATTAGCAGCACTTAATCTCTCCGGGCCACAAGCTTGGGCAGTGTGTATGGAGGTCCTGGTCTGCTTAGATGACAAGACTCCCCTCTTGGCCTCGCTGATGTGGTCCAAAGGAAAGGAGAACAACATGTTTGGCACTAGCTTGGCTGCAGGGGTTGGTGGAAGGAAGCATACAAGTTGCCATCGAACTGTTTTAGGGACTCCACTCTGGATTTGTGTAGGGTTTGCTCCTTAGCCTTTTAAAAGAGTATTAGACAAATTCCTGAAGGATAAGGCTATCAGGTCTACTAGCTATGATGGCTATGGTATATCTCCACTTTTGGAGGGAGTATGCCTCTGAATACGTTTCTGGTGAACACAAGTATGGAGGGAAAGTGGCAGGCACGATGCTGCTCATCTTAATCACTTGGCTGCCTGCCATAGTTTTTCCCCTCTGTCATTTAATAAGAGATCTGCAACAAGTTTTTACCAAGCTGTTTATTGCCTAGGTGGGTTCACTGTGAAATAATTTTACTGAAAATCTTGAATGCTGTGGCTTTAGCACCTTTCCAGGCTTCAGGAAACAGAAGCAAATAAAATGGACCACTTACTTATTATTTTGAATTTAAGATTTATGGAAGCAGGTACAACTTTACAAGGACTTGACGTTGGCAATATCCTTAGTATAATTTCACGGCGTATGTGCGCCAATTCAGAAAGAAAGATCCCCACATGGAAGTAGCCCTTATGAACATGAGAACATAAGAAGATCCTTCTGGATTAGGCCAATGGCCCATCAAGTCCAGCATCCTGTTCTCACAGTGGCCAACCACTCAAACAGGACCCAAGCACAAGAGCGCTCTCCCCGCCTGCAACTGATATTCAGAAATAATATTGCCTCCAACTGTTATTGCGTCCATCACGGCCAGGAGCCTTTTTGTGTCACTCCATCTCCTGGATCATTTTGGCTGCTGTTTTCTGAACCTTTTCCAACTCAACAATATCCTTTTTGAGGTGTGACAACATGCACACATACATGCACACATACATGTAAATGTGTACAGAGAGAATGGGGTGGAGAGGCAGAGAGAGAGAGTTTGGGAGTTTCTTAGAACTGGAACTCTCAGATCCGGCTTCATACCTGACTGGGACAGACTCACATTTACGAGACAAGTCTGCAGGCATAGCATTTAGCTTTGTCCAGGAAGGAAGAATCTTTTGCTAATCGCTGTGGACAGAGCAAGGCCTAAATTACCCTGCATGATGTCTTGGCTTCCCCTGTATACTAAGCAAACAGTAATAGGATATGTCACTGTGCTGGGAAGTAGCCACTTCAGAATAGGAGAGAACACCTCTGGAAGCATGAGCTTGAAAGTAAACTGTAACAGGATATATAAATATTTGGCTAGCGGGAGCTGGCTGGGAATCAGCTGCTGGGGCAAAGTTTGTAGTCACCCTGCATAGTGCAAAAGGCCAAGCCACAGCTTTGACCTTCCTCTCAAAGAGGGACTGTGGTCAGGGAGTAAAACGCACCCCTGTGGAAGGCCTCACACATCAGTGTCTAAAAGCTCCAGTGTGCCCTGCACTGGCTGTGCCGATAGATGTGTTTCAGCCCTGCCCCAAATGTTACAAACACTTGCTTTAAATGATACACAGGGAAGCATGCAGGGGCAGAAAGTCAGTGTTTAGTGTGTATAGAAGTGGTTTTGTGCACTACCCCAATGTTCTTCTCAGTCTGCATACAAGTATAGGAAAGTGCATAGACACCTCTTTTGTCCTTGATTTTTACAAAGAAAATAGTGCAGGGACAGGATTCACATCTCCATAATGCCTTTTACCATAATGTTGTGCAATGTCAGACTGATATAGGCTAACACCAAATCAGTAAGTCTGCCGACCAGATAAGCATCTCAGCCTACTTACATTTATTTGGCTCCTGCCATAATATTTGGCAGGAGCCTGCCTTCTCTTTGCAAATTTGATTGTAGTCAGGTAGTCCATTAACAAAACAGTTTTGCATCTGTAGTAGTCTTTGAGCGGATCTTTCTTTTTGCTTAGCAGATTGAATATAGTATAGTTGTTTTCCCACTCCCTTTAACATTGTGGTACAAGATGTTATGGGATATGCCATACATCTCACATAGTCACTAGCAGGGAATCTTTTTGATGATAGGCACGCTGCTTTAGGACAAGTTATGCATGTGAATATGTTTAATGGAACCTTGTCTTAAGTTAAATCAATAAAAGCCAAGCACTGTCTGGCTGATCTTACCTTCGGTCCCTATTTCTAGAAAGCAGACCTGCCATTTGCTTCTCCAGCTTCTGCTGAAGGATGCTAGATTGCACCACTGGCTTTGAAGCTGCTATCCGAAGGCTGCGTCTGAGGAACGCAACAGTGTGGTTTTGATTTGCAGCTGTTTTTATGGCCATTATAAAAACAGATGCGAACTCAAAGCAGAACTATAAAATACCAGGCAGCATCCTGCACTGCGTGGGGACTTGCCAGGCGATTTACAGCTTCTGGAAGGAGCAGTACTATATATGCATTTATCCAAAAAAAGACAACAGCCACCCAGACTCAGGGGTACAAGGAGAGAGGTGTGGAACCAGAAAGAATAATTTCTACAGATGCATGCAAACATGTGAACAAAGAAGTCCCAAGATATCTGAACCTTGGCACATTGTGGAGATGAAGGCAGGCGGACAGAGGATCAGACAGACTCCCCAAAGAAAATTAAAAACAATATTGAAATTGCTCATCTTCTGTCAGCAGAACTTTCTTCATTAGGGCCCTACACCCTTGTCTTCCAGGCTGCTTCTCAAAGGCATTTTACCTCCAAGAAGTCCATTTTCATAGCATCCTCTTCAGCAGGACCCTCACTGTTGCTTGATCATTGAATTTACCCAACTCCAATCCCTGCTCAAAACCAGAAAATAATCTAAGGATCTCGGACGCCTGACTTTGTATCCCTTGTTTTGTGCATCATCAACATAGTGAATCCATGGCTCATCAAGGTAGCAAGTGAGCCTTACCTTTGTGTCTTTGTGTCCTTTGTGTCTCATCAAGTTGTGTAGCACCCCCCAGAATATCTCCTCTACAATGGTTAACATAGTTTCATTGTTATCCTTGCTAGGCTTGGGGTGCCAATCAAATAGCCGATGAAATAAGCATCTGATATTTTACTGTTATCACATATTGCCAACTATCTCATGAAGTCCAAAATGTTCTTCTGTAGGTAATGGCGTGTACTTTTTATTGGATCACACTGACCACAAACATCCCCTTCCTGATAGCTTCCATAATCTTCCCTGTTATATCCCTACCCCAAATGAGAGTCAGTGTGGTGTAGTGGTTAAGAGTGGTGGACTCGTAATCTGGTGAACCGGGTTCGCGTCTCTGCTCCTCCACATGCAGCTGCTGGGTGACCTTGGGCTAGTCACACTTCTTTGAAGTCTCTCAGCCCCACTCACCTCACAGAGTGTTGGTTGTGGGGGAGGAAGGGAAAAGGAGATTGTTAGCGGCTTTGAGACTCCTTAAGGAGGTGAAAGGCGGGATATCAAATCCAAACTCTTCTTCTTCTTCTACCCCAAAAGAAGCAGCTGGGATTGTTCTGTGCTAAAGGATAAACTAAAACCCTTCTATACAGCAGCTTCTCCTACAGGTGATTTGCTCTTCAAAGAAGAACTAGTAGAGCTGAAAAAAGGGGAAAAAATCCATAGAAAGAGTGGCACAGCTCACAAAAGCCCCAGAGTCTCACAGTTATTACCATAACTGAATGTAAAGGCTGGCTTTTGTCTTTCATGGTTACTACTATGCATGCTTTATTTGCTTAATTTCATTTTAAATCACAATAATGCATGTAATTACCAATAGATCAATGATGTTTTGGCTGCTCAAATGGTCAGCACTGCTCCCCATGCAACAGACTTCTAGGAGTTCCATAAACCTTATGGCTTGGAATGCCTCTATAGTAAAAAGCCCAGACTCTCCTCATAATAAGTAGACTGTTCTCTATGATTTAATGCTTTACTTCAATTATGAAATATTTGCATACTCTCTCTAAATTGCTAAATATGTACAGATGTGAAAAATAAGAAGGGAGAAAAAAATGTTGAAGAGATAGCTGTGATTAGTGAAGATTGCTAAATATCATGAATGCACATAAACTAGATTAAAATTAGATTACAAAATCAGTTCAGAATGGAGAAAGAGAAGGGGTTCCAAATATATATACTTGAACTTCACATTGAAAGTTAGTTCCAGCGGTTTTTCTTATAAGAGAACAATGGCAAATGTAGGAATCCAATTTGTAAGATTTCTTAAGGAAAAGAACCTGGAAGTAATGATCTCATTGTGCTCGGTTGACTGCACTATTCTAAGTGTATTTTAAAAAAGAAAATAAAGGGTATATCAAAGACTTTGATCTTCAGCAAAAGTACTTGGAAATTGATCTGAATCAGTGTTGTTATTGTAATTTATATACCGCCTTTTATCCAAAGATCTCCGGGCAGTGTACAAAACCACTTAGCTTCTGACTCCTGGCTCACTATTCTTGTTCCTTGTTTCCCACCCATTTGGCAGGTAGCAGGGAAGCTGCCTTCGTCTATGCAATCTCCTCCGCTGGAGTTGTATACGCCATCACCAGGGCTTGCAGCCAAGGTGAGCTCAAGGCCTGCAGTTGTGATCCCCACAAGCGGGGCCGCTCGAAGGACGAAAGAGGGGAGTTTGACTGGGGGGGCTGCAGTGACAACATCAACTATGGGATCAAATTTGCAAAGGACTTTGTGGATGCCAAAGAGAAAACAGTGAAGGATGCCCGGGCCCTGATGAATCTGCACAACAACCGCTGTGGCAGAACGGTTAGTAGCATGAATTCTTAGCAGCTTGGCAGTGGCTGATATGAGTCGTCCTGTATGGTTCAATTCAGTTGTGGTTGGTGGGGGGGCCTGAGAAAGGGTGGGGTTGCTTATCTGCCTTCCTAACCCTGAGCATTGCTGCCAGTTCCTGACAGCCGGAGGGCAAGCCGAAGGGGAGCTCAGCATGGTTTGGGTGCAGCGGCAAGAGCATAAGATTGGTTCTACCACCTCAGGCACATGGTGCTGAGCATCCCACAACTCACCCTCTCAGGAACTGGCAACAAGATGTAGTGACAGGAAGGCAGGTGAGCAACCCTATCCTGCTTGTGTCACCCCACTGATTGTGCCAGCTAATAATTTTGAATACAACCACCCAGAGCCCTTTCTGTGCTACAGATCTCAGCCCGTGGAAAACGCTGACATCTCAGATTTAATCGTTGGAGAGAGAGACCTGGATTTTGTTCGTGGGGCTCTATTTCTTTGGACAAGAACAAGGCCTCATTCAGCAGGAACTCACTTCCCTTCATGTAGACCAGGCTTCCTAATCAAAATAAGCCAACGGATGGGAGTCTGTGGCCCTCCAGTTTTTGTGAGACTAGCTGCCATCATTCCTGGCCATTGACTTTCCTGGCTATTGCTGATAAGAACTGCAGTCCAATAACTTTTGGAGGGCCACAGGTGCTCCATCCCTGGCCTAAGAAGAGTTTAAACCAGGGGTGGTTAACCTGTTGTTGGACTTCTATCAGTCCCAGCCAGCTGGCAAAAGGTAGGGAAGGGGAAATCATCCCATACTCAGCCACAGAGCCAAGGAGAGATTTGGTATTGCGCTGTGTCAAACATTCTGCCAGTGCAAGCATTTCAGCTTGCCTGACAAAATGACCCCCCCTCTCCTCCCCCACTGCGATGCTGTTCTGGGGGATTCTACACACACACACACATACACACACCAACCAATTTCAGGGGGCATGCAGAGGAAGGGGAGAAGCCCTGTTGCACAAGTGGCAGTCCTTGCATTGGCTTCCACTGATGGCTTTCATTAGTTAAATCCCTTCCATGCCTGCATATAAATACAATCAATTTCTGTTCTGTCAAGCTGGCATTCTTTTTAGCCAGAAAGGCGTGCCTCTGTAGCATCATTACAGAAAATTTGCCTCCATTCATGCAGTGATAGTTATCCATTTCAGCACAAGCATTTTCAATCAGGTCATTAAAGGTTCCTTAGATTTGCTTCCAGTTGGGATGAATCTTGGCTCTAATAGACTAGCCCAAGGATTTTGACAAAAGAAGAGCTGCAGGTATTGTTCATAGGGCTGGCGGGTCTTTTCTATAACTAGTGAAAATGCCCTAAATGGAAACATAGGAGAGGTAAGGTGTCTGAGGCAGCGATAACCAACATAGGAGCATTATTAAAGCAGTTTTTGTCCATAATGGGAACACGTAGGGTCATTTATAGGGTTGATACTGTCTCTTCTGTTCCAGGCTGTGAAGCGTTTCCTGAAACTCGAATGCAAATGCCATGGCGTCAGCGGCTCCTGCACTTTAAGGACTTGCTGGCTGGCAATGTCGGACTTCCGCAAAACAGGAGACTACCTCCGGAAGAAATATAACGGTGCCATCCAAGTAACTATGAACCAGGATGGCACTGGGTTCACTGTGGCCAATAAAAACTTCCGCAAACCCACCAAAACGGACCTTGTATATTTTGAGAATTCACCCGATTACTGTGTGATGGACAAGTCTGCAGGTAAATGGCTCCTTTGACCAAACAGCAGGCTTTCTGTGCCCTTACTCGCTAGCTATCCTTCTCTCATGGGGACCAGCAATTTTATTCTAATCATAAATGCCCAGGACATCTTCAACATTGGGGTGAACAACATGCTCCCCCATATTTCATGACAGCAGGCTAGTTTAGGGAGTGCACAGGGTTATGGGTGAATAGCACACACAGCAGAATGGCAGGCAGGGGTTCAGGAGGACTATCTGGTGTCTCTTGTCAGTGCCCCCTCCTGGCCCGCGGCATCTGCCACTTGGGACAGCTGCCTCACTCTTCCTAATGTTAATGCTGGCCCTGATGCATTTCCTGCCTTGCCCAAGCCAGTTTATTATTGTTGTAACACATTATTAAGACTGGGCATATATTCATTCCCAGGAATATAGGAAACTGCCTTATGCTAAGCCAAACCATTGGATCTAGCTAGCCCAGTATTGTCTACAATGACTGGGAGTGGCTCTCCAGAGTTTCAGACAGGGGGCTTTCCTAGCCCCACCCACAGATGTCAGGGACTGAAGCAGAGACCTTCTGCATGCAATGCAGATGCTCTAGCACTGAGCTATAGCCCTTCCCTATCAGTCAAGGGCGACCTATACAAGTCAAAGGCATTTTTCGGATGCTTTAGGTTGCACTGCTTCAGATAAGTGCTTGTAGAATTTGCTGCCATGTGCACTGTGGAAAGGAACCCATAACTCAAGCTGACATAAGCCGAGTGTATAAGGTTTCCAGATTTTTGCTCTTCATCAGCAAACCAAATGAAAAATCCAATGAAAGTATTCTTCTATTTTTACAGGTTCGTTAGGGACAGCCGGACGAGTGTGCAACAAGGTCTCGCGTGGGACCGATGGATGCGAGGTCATGTGCTGTGGCCGAGGCTATGACACCACCCGCGTGCGGCGAGTCACCAAATGCGAGTGCAAATTCCACTGGTGCTGCGCTGTCCGCTGCAAGGAGTGCGAGGACACCGTGGACGTTCACACGTGCAAAGCACCCAAGAGGGCAGAGTGGGTGGACCAAACCTGAGACAGTGTGAGCCAGAGGGGGGAAAGCAAAACTGGCACAGTGCCCCAGGGCTTGGGCATTCTGGGAATTGTAGTTCAACTGCATGGCTTTTATTTAATTAATTCTGCAAAGCACTACGGAGAAGACTACATTTCCCATGGGGATAGCGAGCTCTTCTGCTCACCCAGTAGAACTCATTCCTCTAACTTTAAAAAGGAATTTTCAAATGACACAGAACTGTGAAGCTTCCTTTGCCTGGCGATATTGTCCAAAGAACAAATAAATAAAAAGAGGGAACAATGCAGCTGCGTAGGAGCACAAGAGACTGAGGAGCAGGTTACAATTAGCTGGAGAACCTTGCCTCTCTCCGGGGAATGTTCAGCAGTATATTATAAAATGTTGCCTAACCTGCAGAAATCCCTCCATCTACCCTGGAGGAAAGTACTCTATTTCCCAAAAAAAGGTGGCTGTATAGTCCTAAGGAACTACATGTTCTGCTATGGATCTCCGCTCATACAGAGGCCACCATGCCTGCACTATGGACATTAGCTGAACAACAGCAACATTGTGTAAAGGGACTTCGTTACCTTTTCCTTTCTAATGGAAAGCAAACTGTGGAGTTACAAAGTTGGCAGCCGAAAGAAAAACCAGTATCTACATGCAGAGGGAAAAAAGTATGAAAGTTGAGAGTACATGTGTATGTCTGGATGCGCTGGTAGGTTCTAAAGGAAACTAATATAAAGGTGACTTTTTGGTACAAATGCACTTGTACATCATGTAGACTGCTTTAAATACTTTAAATCAAAATCCCATATAAACCTGTATCAGAAAATGGTGTTCTTTGCTTTGTGGCTTTCTACAATCGTGGCTAGCAAGGTGAGTAATGGGCAGGTTCTTGCCCTATGTTATTGCTGCACTCCACAACTGTGGCACTTCTAGACTATAAGGTCAAAGCAAAGTTCTTGAGGCTAAAGGCAGCATAACAGTGCTATCAGATCACCAAGCTAACACTTCTCTTTTGTCTCTGCATCTCTGAAAACTTTCATCACCACCACACCCCCCCCCCCAATCCTTGCATATTTCTCTTTTCTGTCAGTCTACATTCCCTGGCCACACTGTTGAATGTTTATCTTCTACCATAGCATCATGTGCAACTGTTGGAGATGCTTCAGTTTGGGCCTCTGCTGAGATTACAAAAAGGCAGCCATTGTTGTATCCGTTTTCCACTCCTTCCAGGGTGGGACAGGCAAACACAAATCTCTTATGTTGTGATTCTTGCCTTGTGGGGGTTGGACCAGATGACCCTTTGGGTCCCTTCCAAGGAGTACTTGGGTCATGGTCTCATGAAGTCACATGCAGCTCCTAAGCCATAGCCTTGATCACCTGAAATCTAGTGCAGGGTTTGACCCCCATCTTGTGAATCAAGTCATTAAGCCAAGCTCTGTAAATGAATCCTTTAGGATGCAGAGTCACTGTTTGGCCTCTTGCACCAGTAGAGACCTGCAAGTATTAAAAGGGTCCTATAAGGATCATTTTCAAAACCACGATTATAAAAGCTGTTTGGCAATACAAACCCAAGTGTCAGTCTTTTGTGCGACATCATTTCACAGTTTCACGGTGACTGTCTCTGGAACATAACTCCTTAGGATGAAGCCAGGACTGTTAAGCTTGTTTAGGTTCAGTGTTGTTATAGCTTTTGCGAGCTCAGCAGAAGCCAATGAATCAGTCTAAAGCCACATGGCACACCCACGCCACAGGGGATGAACCAGTTTTGTTGAATAAATGCAAATACCCAACTATGGGAGCTTCGCATCTGCAATCAGCATATTGGCCTCACTGTTATGCAATAGCTGCATTGCACGTGTCTGCCCAGACAGGCCACAGCAGTGTCGGAACCATATTAACTTCCTGAACCAGTACACATCTCCTTAAGCACAGATCTTACCTTGTTTGGTGGGACTTACTCCCAAGTAAATGTGCAGAAGTTTGCAGCTTGGGCAACTTAACTTAAACAAGCAAACAAACCAACAAAACCCCTGTTAATAACCTCTACAGAACTTTTGAAGGTACAAAGTGCCTGATAATCCTACACAGTCCATGTCCAAACCAAATATTTCACCTAATGCATATTACCTTTTAGGAAGTCTCAGGTTCAATGTCCAGCATATCTAGATAGAGTTAGGAAAGACCCAAGCTGAATCTCTGGAAAGCCATGGGCCAGTCATTGGGAGTTGACATTTCTGAGCTAGGCAGATCAATAATTTGACTCGGCATATGTCAGCTTCCTGTGTACCAGCTCCCTTTCTCTCTCTGATGCAGGATCAGGGATGGAGACCATGGCAACTGGACCTGCAGATTTCAAACAACATAGTAGCCTTTTCCTAGGCACAAAGACCAAAGATGTGTTGAGAGAATCTTAATGTATGGCTGGGAAACGTTTGTGGGGGGTTTTAACCCAAGGGCCACATTCCCTTCTGGGAAACCTTCTGACGGCCATATGCCAGCAATTGGCAGGACCAGAGGCAAAAGTGGGTGGAGCAATGAACATGAATATCACTTTTGTATGGTAGACTAGTTTCTACACATGTCCACACACCCATCTCTGTCTTCTATCCATGCAAGCAAGAAACATTATTAGAGTTTATGGAGATTTTTCCAGTCTACAAAAATGCTCAAGGAGCATACAGGGCTGGAAAGGAGGTGTGGCTGTCGAGAGTCCTACAGAGACCTGGAGGTTCTCCATTCCAGTCTTAATGGAAAATATCAGCATTGCTAGCTTAGACAGTGGTGTACCTAACAATTTTATTGGGGGTCAGCAGCAAGATCCTATTTCATTCCTGGCTTTTTACAAATTCAAAAGGTGTTTTCCAACGTTCAGATATATGTTCCAATATATATGATGCAGAATTGACATTGCAGAAAATTGCTAGCCTGCACCTTTCAGGGTGCTGTTGCTGCAGAACGTCTAAGTTCTCATTGCTCAAATAGGAGAGAGAGAGAAAAAAGATTTGATAAGCTCTTGCCAACTAATAGTGACTGAATTGCAACGCTACATAAAGCAGTCTTCCTAAATTGCCTTCACACCTTTAAGGAAGTATTTTAATGGTTAAGCAAAACTGGATCATCATTAGATCATCCCTTATCAAACGTTATGCTGAAAGTCTCCCAAGGCTATTCTGTGCCTGAAAGGGGTATGTTCATAAGAATAGAATAAGTCCAAGAAATGTTGAGAACAAATGACACCTAGCTTTCCCATTGTCTGGTTGGGGAGAGAACACAAACCTGGGAACATGGTCCTCTGCTGCCATGGCAACAAGCAGCTCACCTTTGAAACTTCCCCACCTTCACAAGAAGGTCACATCTCCTATTCTTTCTGGTGTGGCATTGACACAGTTTGCTGCTGGCCTACAGAAGCTTTGATGAGAGCTATACACTCAGTACCAGGCAATATGAACAGCAGGGAGCTCAACTTAAGGAAAGAAAGAGGAAGAACATTATGAAAGCATGGGCAATGTCAAATGTTGCATTACAAATCCAAACGTTTTCCTCATTTGTTTCAACAAAATAAGCAATATATACCTTTTAAAAATCCCCTCACCGTTTTCACCATTGTTTTAATTGGATTCTATTATTTGCATTCCAATTTGACACTTCAAAGACTTCTAAAACCCTTGCTTCACCCGGCCAGTTTTCCTTCTCATTGGCCTGCTTACCAATAGACATACACATACATTTTCTCAGTATTCCTTACTCCAGCTCTACAAGGTAGGTCAGTATTATCATCTCTATAGCACAGCTGAAGGACTAAGGCTAGAACACAGTAGCTTGCTTAAGACCACTTAGTGCAGGCATGGCCAAACCTGGCCCTCCAGCTGTTTTGGGACTACAGTTCCCATCATCCCTGACCACTGGTCCTGTTAGCTAGGGATGATGGGAGTTGTAGTCCCAAAACAGCTGGAGGGCCAAGTTTGGCCATGCCTGACTTAGGGCAATGGTGAGGAACCTTTGGCCTTCCAGATGTTGCTGCACTACATTTCCCATCATCCCTGAAAGTCGGCCACGCTGGCTGGAGCTTATGGGAGTTAGACTTCAATAACATCTAGATGGCCACAGGTTTCCCACCACTGACCCAACAAGTTCAAGGCAGTGGTAAGATTCAAAGCATTAGCTTCTTGTTTCACAGTCTTTAAAAATGTCTTTTTATTATAAAGAAAAATAATACAAAGTATGCTTTCCATTGCAATTGCAGGCTATGTTTCCATTGCAATTACATTTTTTTAAAAAATCAAAATAAGCTTGAATTGGTATTACAAAACTGAAAAGCAGTTATAAATATTTATGTCAATGTTATATTTAAGCAGAGAAATTAATAAATTGGCGCCACAATAAACTTTCCCCCTGTCTTTTGTTTTCTCTTTCAGTGTCACAGTTTATGTAACATGGCATTTAGGCAGGGGGCCAAATTTTAGTAATCAACTCTTTCATAGAATATATTTTATGCACTTCACCCTTTTTTTTGCAGTTACAATTTTAGCAGCCATCAGCAAACCAGAAGTTAGGCAAACCATAACCATTAGGATTCCCCTCTCATATTTCTAACTATCTTACATAACAAACAGCAGCAGTTCAGTGCCTATGAAATGTTGCTCACATTGTTTCTTTCAGAATGTTATCTCAATATGCCTGCATCTTAGAGCACTTCCACCACCTATGAAGAATGAAGAGGAGGCGTGTAGTGGTGATAGGGGATTCCCTACTGAGGGGAACAGAAGCAGTGATCTGTGGGCCTGACAAGATGTCTCGGGAAGTGTGCTGTCTCCCCGGGGCTAAGATCCAAGATGTAACTGAACGACTGCAAGGAATCATAAAACCCACTGACAAATACCCCTTCCTCTTGGTTCATGTGGGAACCAATGACACTGCAAGCAATAGCCTCCAGAAGATCAAAAGAGACTACGAGGCTCTGGGCAGGAAATTGAAGCAATTAAATGCACAAATTGTGATCTCATCTGTCCTCCCAGTTGAACGACGTGGCCCAGGGAGAGAGGGGAAAATAGTGGAAGTAAACAGCTGGCTTCGCAAATGGTGTAAACAGGAACGGTTTGGATTCTTAGATCACGGACTGCAGTTTCTTGAAGATGGACTTCTGGCAAGCGATGGGCTGCACCTCACAACGTATGGGAGAAATGTTTTTGCCAAAAATCTCAGAAACCTCATCAGGAGGGCTTTAAACTGACTAATGTGGGGGAGGGACAGTGCTCCTGAAGGTAGGAGTCTATCAATTGATGAAGATGATCATCCAAATGTCATAGACCAAATGGAGCAAACAGCACACAGACCTAGTGGTGGGAGGAAAAAATCCTTAAATAAGAGTCACGGGGAATGATTAATGGACTTCAATGTCTGTACACTAATGCGCAAAGCATGGGAAATAAACAAGATGAGCTTGAGCTCTTGGTACAGCAAACTAAATATGACATAATAGGCATCACTGAAACCTGGTGGGATAAGTCCCACGATTGGAATGTAATAATGGGGGATACAATCTATTTCAGAGAAACAGACCAGACAAGAAAGGAGGAGGAGTGGCGTTATATGTCAGGGATGTGTATACCTGTGAAGAGATCCAAGATTTAGAACCTCAAAGCCAAAGTGAGAGCATTTGGGTCAAAATTAAGGGAGAGAAGAATAACAGTGACCTCATTGTGGGAGTTTACTATAGATCCCCAAGCCAAACGGAGGACATAGATGATGCCTTCCTGGAACAGATGGCCAAGCATGCAAAAGGAAGGGAGATAGTAGTAATGGGGGACTTCAATTACCCGGATATTTGTTGGATGTCAAACTCAGCCAAGAGCATAAGGTCAAACAGATTCCTCACTGGCCTTGCAGACAACTTCATTGTCCAGAAAGTGGGAGAAGCAACAAGAGGAACAGCCATTTTAGATCTGGTCCTAACCAATGTTGATGACCTGGTTAGTGGGGTAGAAGTGGAAGGATCATTAGGTGCGAGTGATCATGCTCTTCTGAAGTTTACTATACAGCGGAAAGGAGCAGCCAAGCATACTAGGACTCAATTTCTTGACTTTAAGAAAGCTGACTTCATAAAACTTAGGGAAGTGCTGGGTGAGATCCCATGGACAGTAATACTAAAAGGAAAGGGAGTTCATGATGGCTGGGAGTTTGTTAAGAGGGAGATAGTAAAAGCACAACGTCAGGCAATACCAATGAGACAGAAACATGGAAGGTGCCTAAAGAAGCCAGGGTGGCTATCTAAAGAACTTTTAACTGAGTTAAGATTAAAAAAGGATGTGTACAAAAATGGAAAAGGGGGAAACCACCAAAGAGGAATTCAAACAAATAGCCAGCACGTGTAGACACAAAGTCAGAAAAGCTAAAGCACAGAATGAACTCAGGCTTGCTAGAGAGGTTAAAAGCAACAAAAAGGCTTTTATGGGTATGTCCGTGGCAAAAGGAAGAACAAAGAAACAGTGGGGTCACTCAGAGGAGAAGATGGTGAAATGCAAACAGGGGACACAGAAAGAGCTGAACTCCTCAATGCCTTCTTTGCCTCAGTCTTCTCCGATAAAGAAAACAATGCCCGACCTGAAGAATTTGGAGCAAATGATTCAGCAAAGGAAACACAGCCCAGAATAACTAAGGAGATAGTAGAAGAATACTTGGCTAGTTTAGATGTATTCAAGTCTCCAGGGCCAGACGAACTGCATCCAAGAGTATTAAAAGAACTGGCAGATGTGATCTCAGAACCACTGGCAGTCATCTTTGAGAATTCCTGGAGAACAGGCGAAGTCCCGGCAGACTGGAGGAGGGCAAATGTTGTCCCTATTTTCAAAAGGGGAAAAGAGAGGACCCAAATAATTACCGCCCAGTCAGTCTGACATCAATACCAGGGAAGATTCTGGAGCAGATCATTAAGCAAACAGTCTGTGAGCACCTAGAAAGGAATGCTGTGATCACCAATAGTCAGCATGGATTTCTGAAAAATAAGTCATGTCAGACTAACCTGATCTCGTTTTTGACAGAATTACAAGCCTGGTAGATGAAGGGAACGCAGTGGATGTAGCCTACCTTGATTTCAGCAAGGCATTTGACAAGGTGCCTCATGATATTCTTGTAAAGAAGCTGGTAAAATGTGGTCTTGACTATGCTACCACTCAGTGGATTTGTAACTGGCTGACTGACCGAACCCAAAGGGTGCTCATCAATGGTTCCTCTTCATCCTGGAGAAGAGTGACTAGTGGGGTGCCACAGGGTTCTGTCTTGGGCCCGGTCTTATTCAACATCTTTATCAACGACTTGGATGATGGACTCAAGGGCATCCTGATCAAATTTGCAGATGACACCAAACTGGGAGGGGTGGCTAACACCCCAGAGGACAGGATCACACTTCAAAACGACCTTGACAGATTAGAGAACTGGGCCAAAACAAACAAGATGAATTTTAACAGGGAGAAATGTAAAGTATTGCACTTGGGCAAAAAAAATGAGAGGCACAAATACAAGATGGGGGACACCTGGCTTGAGAGCAGTACATGTGAAAAGGATCTAGGAGTCTTGGTTGACCACAAACTTGACATGAGCCAACAGTGTGACGCGGCAGCTAAAAAAGCCAATGCAATTCTGGGCTGCATCAATAGGAGTATAGCATCTAGATCAAGGGAAGTAATAGTGCCACTGTATTCTGCTCTGGTCAGACCTCACCTGGAAGTATGTACGAGAGCAGTTGCATCTCAAACTCCTCATGTATTAGATTAATTTAGGGAGAAATAAGATACCAAACACGTAGAATCCTCTTTCATGGGAATATAAAACAAAGGAGAATTGCTTTTGGCAAGGGTTTTGGGTGGAATTGAACATAGTATTATTACAAATTTTCCATCTGCACAAGCGTATCATCTTGCTAGATGGAACAACCCCCCCTCCCCGTGCAGTGTCTCTCAACTTGCCCCCAGAGCCAATTTGGGGTGGGCACATGGGGGAGAGGCATTGCACAATTGGTCGCTTCTGCTGATAAGACTTGTTAGCTGAAACCTGCCCTTTGTATCAGTCTGCATCACTTATTGCAATTTCAAGCATTTTCTCCCAATCTTGTTTTAAATTACCTCTTACATCACAGTCAGGGGTACCCCAGGGGTAATCTGTGACCCTCCAGATAGTACTTGTCTGCAACTATTATCATTCCTGGGCATTGGCTAAGTTGACTGTGGCTGACTTGACACAACCACCATCAGTCCCAGCCAGCATGGTCAATAATCGGGGGTTATGGGAGTTGCTACAATGGAACAGTTTCTCAAAATCAGTTATGTTGCTACTCAGTGTACTGGCTCTTCCTGTTCTGATCACCTAATCATTCCAAATTGAAAACAATGAAAGCCAATTCAGATCCTCCTTCAGCCATCATTCCTTGATATCTCACAATCCCATTTTTAACCTATTTGGAAGACTTGGCTACAATTTGAAATTGTTAAAGGTTTATTGAAGTTTTGGGTTGCAATATTTCACTTGCAGTCCATTTGGACATGGGACTTCTGATAGCCTTGAATTATCTACATTCTATAGGAAATTTCTGACATCCACATTTGGAATGATATTGCTTCTTACATTTGTTCATCAGGTGTGTATCCATTTATTGGGGGGGGGGGGGGACTCAGCACACTCACAGCTCCAAGAGGGATCGCTCAGTCTAACTGATTTCTGTGAAGGTCTAATTCATTCAATACTTTGGAATTAAAAAACGGTTTTTATGTATTAAAGGGTTTAAAGTTATCTCTTGTGCTAGTTATTGCTTACTCTTATTTTGTCTTTTATTCAGCAAAGCTGATAACTGAATAAAAGAATGCCTGGACAAAAAATGCTTTTCTGGCACCCCACACAATCTGTCAATCTACTTCAGATGCGTACTTAAAAAGAAGTATTTCTGCGGTTTCTGCATAACCTCATGTCCCTAATCACATGTGTAGATCTCTCAACCAATATCAACGTGCGGTACTTTGTATAAAGAGGCTGATGCAGACCAATCTATGCATGCAGGTGCATGATCAGAAATTTCTCTTGGCAATCAAGATCTACTTGAGAGATATGTTGTCACATATTGCTCACCTTTACCAGGATTATAGCAATCCTAGAATAACTTTCAACAGAGCAAGAATAATTTCTAGGTGAAGGTTTACATTCCATCACTACTTTGAATTTTGTTATTATATGACTCAGAGAAATGGATTCTCTTACGATTCCATGTGAAGCAACATCTATTGCCTGGGTATTGGTTAGAATACCTTGTGGGATGTTTTTGTTCTCATCTCTAGTCATAATGTGCTTTTGCTCTAATGTCATGTGCTTCTACAGGATTTGGAAGAGCATCCTGTGCAGCTTCT